AGAGAATTTCTGTAAAGTCGGGATTTTGGCCAGAATTGTCGATCATCTTGCTTTGAATTATCATAAATGGTAACTCTTGGAGGAGAAAAAAAAATAAATTTGAAAACACATTTCGCAACAAGATTTGCCGAGTCGGGACTGGGATCCCGAAACGAAATTCTGATAACATTGAAATCCGTTTTAATCTCATCACCGATGAAATATCCGATAATGAGAGAATTTCTGTAAAGTAGGGATTTTGGCCAGAATTGTCGATCATCTTGCTTTGAATTATCATAAATGGTAACTCTTGGAGGAGAAAAAAAAAAAATTTAAAAACACATTTCGCAACAAGATTTGCCGAGTCGGAACTGGGATCCCGAAACGAAATTCTGATAACATTGAAATCCGTTTAAATCTCATCACCGATGAAATATCCGATAATGAGAGAATTTCGTCAAAGTCGGGATTTTGGCCAGAATTATCGATCATCTTGCTTTGAATTATCATAAATGGCAACTCTTGGAGGAGGGAAAAAAATAAATAAATTTAAAAACACATTTCGCAACAAGATTTGCCGAGTCGGGTCTGGGATCCCAAAACGAAATTCAGATAACATTGAAATCCGTTTAAATCTCATCACCGATGAAATATCTGATAATGAGAGAATTTCGGCAGAGTCGGGATTTTGGCCAGAATTATCGATCATCTTGCTTTGAATTATCATAAATGGTAACTCTTGGAGGAGAAAAAATAAATAAATTTAAGAACACATTTCGCAACAAGATTTGCCGAGTCGGGTCTGGGATCCCGAAACGAAATTCAGATAACATTGAAATCCGTTTAAATCTCATCACCGATGAAATATCCGATAATGGAAGAATTTCTGCAAAGTCGGGATTTTGGCCAGAATTATCGATCACCTTTATTTGAATTATCATAAATGGTAACTCTTGGAGGAGAAAAAAAAAATAAATAAATTTAAAAACACATTTCGCAACAAGATTTGCCGTGTCGGGTTTGGGATCCCGAAACGAAGTTCAGATAACATTGAAATGCGTTTAAATCTCATCACCGATGAAATATCTGATAATGAGAGAATTTCCGCAAAGTCGGGATTTTGGCCAGAATTATCGATCNTGCCACTAAAAAAACTCATTTGTCACTCACTGATATTTCGTGCACGCAGCTTTTTATTTTAATCCATTATATAAGCCACGCGGGGCAACATATGCCTTCAGTTCGCTGACCTCCATTATTACTTCTCAATCAATTTTGGTTTCTTGATGATAAACAGTTTGTTAGATTTAATGTATTAAGTATTTTTCTAACTATAATGATATTCTTAATTAAATCAAATTTTTGGACTAATTAATTTTTGATAACCTTTTTAAAAATACTTTTGGTGTCTTTGGATGATATCTATTAAGGGAATCGCAGTTTCCCACTACTGAGGTAGGCTGTTTTTTTATTTTATTTAAATAAGGATATTTGTACACACATTAAAAAATAGGGAACATGAAAGATGATGAAGTACATTTTCACGTACATTAAAATCATGGATTATGATGTCAAACAAAGTTTCTTAATACAAATTACAACTGATTTCTGCGGGAGGCATTATTTAAAACTTTGTTCATCATAATTTAATCAAGGAAATGTAGGACGTTTTTTCTATTCGTTTTTTTCTTCTTTTTTTTTTAAAGTCATCGCAAGATATACTAATCTTATAATACTCTCTCTATGTAAGGGGAACGTCGTAAAATCGTACCAAGTTGCAAAATGATCGCCGTGAAAAAGTTTTTTCAAAATTTTGTGTTTTGATGCAAAAGTTTGCGTGGCATTAAAAAAAAAGAAAAAAATTATTTTTAACTTGCCTGTCCATGCTTAAGTTTCAGGAATATTATAACGCACAAGTATAATTTTTCCCCCTCTTTTTTCGGCAAATGGTAGAATGGGGCCCACTGCAAAAACTTGCCAAACGTATATTACTTGCACACATTTAACTTTTGAAAAAAATGTTGGAAGAAAATGCGGAAAAATCACTGGGGCACCTCGGGACTCGCATTTACCAGAAGGTAAACCCGCTGAGAAAAGAGTTTATTTAAATAAGGGTAGTATTTGTAACCACATATGTAAAAAGTAGAGAACTTGAAATATAATGAAGTACAGGTCAGATTCAGTATATTAGAACAATTGAAAAATTCGACTTTAAAAAGTATTTTATTTACATTTTTCTCATTTATTTAAAATAATTACTACTTTAGTGATTCAAACCTAAATACTTCACAGTATTTTTAAATATAAAAAAATCAAAATAAACCATAAATTATTATTATATTACATATTATTAGATGGAAATTTTACGTCGTTCAAAATACTGTAATAATTACTAAAAAACCCACTCAAATTCAATTATAAATCGAAAAAAAGTTACGTAATATTTTGTAACATCCCCTTTAGCTTTGATCACTGCATATCAATGATCTTGCAGCCTTTCTTGTTCACGTCAGTCCAAGTAGACTTAATGCTTTCCTCTAGTTCAACATTATTTGTTGAAGAAACCTCTTGCAGTTTATTCTTTACTATACCCTATAAATTTTTAAAATGAATTAAGATTTGGTGAGTAAGCTGGCCACTATAATTTTATTATTTGGAGCTGTTTCTGCCAGATTTTGAAAGTGATGCTAAATCTTATTAGAAAATTAACTCAACCTCTTATAAGCTTTCAGATGATGGAATCATGTAGTGCTCGAAACTATATTGATATACATCTGAATAAACCTTTTTCTGGAGGATCTAATCTATTCCCTTCCAAGACCATTTGCAATTACACAATTTTATACCATCACACTAACTGTAAATTTAATCTAATTTTTTAGTCGCACTCTATTAAATGCTTCCTGTTTTATCCTCCAAACTCAAATATCTTTATTGCCACAAGACATAACTATCTAAATTTGCACCATCTCATTCTTGCAAGCTTTTGTTTTACTTTCATAATGTAGTTTTGTTGTTGGAAGAAGAGAATGAAGTTAGTTTAATTTAAAAAGACGCCGTAATGTTATCGATGTAGGAACATTAATTTCTTCTTCTTTCCATTTCCAATGCTAAATTTGTTTCCGTTTATTTTCATTTTCCAATAAGATTTAGCTTAACCTCATCTGTCAAAATCAACTAGATCTAGCTGGAGCAATACAAAATTACAGTGCAAACAAGGTCACTTTATTCTCCAGATCTTAACCCAATTAAAAATTTATGGGGGAAAGTAAAGAAAAAAGCAACAACAAGAAGTTGCTCTTGCAAACAAAGCTGAATTGGTAGAAACAATTAAGTCAACTTGGGGTAATGTTGACAAAAAAAAAAAAAGAGACTACCAAAATCTTTATTTTATGTAAGATTGTTCAAATGCAGAGGTCAGAGCTAAAGGAGACACTACGAAATACTAAACTAAACTCAGTGGAGCGACAGCCCGTAGAGGGTCAAGGCTTACTGTACCATCTTAGTTCTCTTGACCTTGGGCTCTGGGGTGCAGGAGCAGATGATGTTCCGGTCAGGTGGTCAGCCGAACGCAGAACCCCAGTGTTAAGTTCCCAAGCATGCTTGGTACTCATTTATCGACCCATTGAAGGGATGAAAGGCTGAGTCAACCTTGCCTGGCCGGAGGATCGAACCCAGGAACTGTGGCATGGGAGGGGAAAGCGCTACCACTCAGCCAACGGGCGTCACTACAAAATACTACATAACTTTTTTTTATTCATTCTCATTTTAAATTGAATTTATATAAAATATATAATATTTTACATAAATTCAATTAATTTTAGAATAAAATATTCTAATATTTTGGATCACAAAATTTTATTTGACTATTTTTTTTTCAAAAATAAAATATGAAATTCATTTATGTCTTACTTTAATTTCTTTAATGTTTAAAAATACTGAAAAATATGTAGATCTGACTCGCTATATTTGTGTTTTAAATTTAAATAAGTAAAAGACTTTTTATTATTGATGATTGTTTTTAATCATTCTAATATTTAGAATCAGAGCTGAACATTGTCACATGCATTTAGATGTCATTTCTTCATCAGATTTCTGCAGAAGCGATAACTTAAAAATTCGTTTATCACAACTTAAAAAGGGAAACATTGTAGGACGTTTTTTCTATTGTTACTCTTGGAAAAAGAAAAAGAAAAGGATCAGAAATGCATTACCTGTCTTTACCCGTAAATTAATATACCCGTAAAACAAATTTACCCGTAAAACAAAAAAGATGCTCCAGAGTAAGGGACTTGTCGTTGAATCACAATTCGATACCAAGAGAAGTTTTAACGGTTATCTCACTATTCCCTATGTGTAAGGAGCATGTTATAAAAACTAACTAAGTTGCAAAATAATAGATGTGAAAATATGTGTAATATTTCTACTTGTATTTTTCAATATTTTGTTTTTGATACTGTAGTTTCTCAAAAATTTGGTAAGCAAAACTGGCATTTCATCTTGCAAGTATACATGTCCTATCTTAAGCAATAAAAATGCATTTTGGTTATATTTTACTTGTTTTAAAAGTGAGAAAAATTCTTAATATCATTCCTTCCAGGGCTTTTTAGTTTCGTTTCCTTTTTCTTTCCTAGATAATTTTAATGCATGGGTTTCAGATTTTAAGGAGGACCAATATTCAGAGTTCAATAAATAGAATAGTTCACAAATAGAATTTTTTTTAAATTTTTTTATGAATGGATCAAAATTTATATATTTCCTCTAATATAAATATGCAAAATAATTTTTTTTAAAATTTAATTTAACTCAACTGAATTTAAATTGATGAAGATTCAAGAAAGTTTTTGCCATTTGTCTGAAATATTGAGAAGGAATTTAAAATATTTTTTAATTTTGAGAGGGGCATCTCAGTGTAATATTGTAATGAACATGGGGATTGTAATAATACTTTGGTGAATGATTCTGCTGAAAAATTAAAATGAAAACTACACAGATAAAATGAAATAAATAATAAAATATAAATATATTTCCAATTTAATGGTTTTCTTAAATGCCAAAACAATATAATATAATAAATAAAATATATTTCATCAAAACAATTTTTTGTCTGATTGATGCAAAATCAATCTCCAAGTAGGTTCACTGAGGCAAGATCCTTTGTGATTTTTTCGGCACCCAGCAGTCCTTCCAGGAGCAACTCATCGTTGCTTTGAGGAAGTGCCTCCTCTGCCATGACTAGGGGTTCATCATCATCGTCCTCCTCCTCCTCGTCGTGATAGGCAGGTGGTAGAACGGCGTCTGGATACTGGAATGTGGTTTGTGGAAGATCTAATTCGATGGGGAAAACGTTTGTCTCCTGCATCAGCTGATAGCAGTTCTCATTATATTGGGATAGTGCAGAGAGTAAGCGGTTCATTTGGAATACAATATCTTGCACTGAAAAGAAACAAAACCCATAAATATCCTCCTTTCACTTGCTAAGACATTATTGACAGCTTTGCTTATCAATTACAAGCATATACCAGAACAAGAAATTTTCTGACTATGGATACCGCATAAGATTCTAATTTTAACAACAACAGAAAATATAGTCATATTAATCTGTAGCACATAACTACAGGCCATACCACATAACTCATTTAATTTTTAAAACAACAGATCAGTAAATATATACCATGTTTCTGATCAAGAAGCTCTAATTTAACTTGGACATCAGATCGGAGTTTCGAAAATCTCAGCCTTGCATCTTGTCTGCATCTGAGGATTAATCTAAAAAGAATCCAATTTGCTCATTAGAATTAAATTACAATTCATATGGATATCTGTTTCCATTAATAGAAAATTTGCCTTTTTGAATTCTTGAGCAGTTTAGAGAGTAGTTAAATAATTAATAATAGTTAATATTCTATTAACTGTTATTAAAAATTACTTCATTGTAAATATTTAAGTTTTAACAAAAAATAAAATGTTTTGAATATATTTAAAAAACAAAACCATTAGAGTAAAATGTACAGAAACCATGCAAAGACTCCATAATTCAAAAGAGAATAGAAAGTGTTGAAAAAGAAATCACAAACTGTCTTTCCTTTAATTCAATCAAACATATGCTCCAATTCTTATAACATTGAAATATTTATCTTTTCTTTTATTGTTTTATTTCTCTTCAAAGAAATGTTTGACTGTATGATTATAAGTGTGAATCTTTAAAAATATTTATGAACCGGGAATTGCAAATAATTCATCGACTGTAAGAAGATGCTAGATCATGGAACCAGTTTATTTACCCAATATAGGGGTCATATAAAAATATGATTAAGGAAGTTTATGGTAGGTGAAGAAAAGCTCTGTACAAATTACAAATTTTTAGCAAGACAATCCAGTGTTAAAATGAACTTTTGACTTTTTAATCCATAAAGCAACGTTGCATCAAATGACAATATCTTTTTATTTTTAGAACTATTGCATTTAATAATTTTCATGTGAAGCAGAATAAAAGATTTTGTGCTAAAATATAATTTAGTTTCGTTCTCATAGTCTATTCCCAAACATGATTCGAGCTGAAGGATAGGTAAACTTAAAGTCACATTTTCTTTCAACATCTTTGATTCTTTAACTTTGGACTATTTCACACTTTTGGACAATTAGAGAATTTTTTTTGCGACATAACAAGTAAATTTAAATAATAAAAAAGTTGTAAAAAATATAATATATTTGTTTTCTATAACTTGTTTATTTTCTTTCCAAATTTTATTTTGCCCAGAATTTTGTAAGTGAGGACTCAATGAAAACTTTTAACATTTAATACATAATTTAATACTTAAAACATTTCATACAAGATAAACCGAGTACTTTTTTTAAACATTGCATCTAGATTGCTTATATCTACTTTAAACAAAAGGGTTTCGAATCTCGCATCATAATTTGGTTTCGGCAGATGTCTTGTATGTATGAAGAAATTGATTCTCTTTTTCTCTCACCGATGAGAGCTACAGTAACACACATTAAAAAATCAAGATGAGACATTTTTTCTTCACCTATTGCCATAGTCAGAGAGTTTGTAAAAAAAAAAACAAACCACTATCTCCTCTTTTCTAAGAGCGTCTATGATTAATTTAAACAGATATTTTTTGTCATTTTGTCAAATACTCAACAGTTTTCTTTATTTACTTTACTTTTTATTTTTAGATTCTTTTACTTTTTATTTATAGATTCTTTTAGAACTTATTTTCGTAATAAATTATTTCTAATTGTTTCTGTCATTCTAAATTCTTTACCTCACATAGTTTTCAACAAAGTTAAAGTGCTGGAAAAAAAATAGTAAAAAAAAATAGTATTATACTCGAGTTCATTACACACGTGAAAGTATTCCTAAAGATAACTGCTCTCGATTATCTAACAATTGTCAATAGTTAGATTTCTCAGAAGACCACCAACTTCTATCACACAGGACTATCAGACAAATCTGAGTAGTAATTCCATTGCATTCATATTTAATGTGAAGGTGTTGAAAGAGAGAGGTAATAAGGTGTAGATAATAAAGTGTAATAATAAGTTGTTGAAAGAGAGAGTAAGTAATAAGAGAATTCGATTATACTTCACTCCAAAATTCCCAGATTGGGAATAATGAATAGGAAAGTCGTTATCAACAACTTGACAAAAATTTTTTTTAGAATCAGCTTTTGGCAGATATTGACGATTACTTATAAAGATTTCAGACAATTACAGTGAATTTATTGTTTTCAATAAAAAGAATAGAAAAAAAGTGAATTTTTTCCTATTATGTCTAGTTTCATAATAAAATTTGAATACTTAATAAATATTTTCCATTCTCATTAAAATTAATAAAAGATAATTATAGTTCTTATTTAGTGCCACATTAATTAAAATTAAATTAATCAATGAAGAGATAGCTGGAAAAATAAGTAGTTGGTTTCTAAAGAGATAACTTTTGTGCCTAATAGGTTAAGGTGAGTGATGTCTATTATCAAGAATACGATAAATCAACAATTGCTGCACATTATTGGAATGTTAGTTATAAATTCAATTTCAACAATGCCAAAACTATTTTTTCCACTAGTCAATTTAACTCATCTTGATACCCTGGAATCTTGCTTCATTCATATAAATGCTGATTTCCTTGTTAACCACATTAGTTTCTTACCACCTCTCCATAGCACATGGAAATCCATTTTACATTGATTCGGCCCTCTCAGTCACAGTAGTTTTTCTTGTGCCATTTTTGCCTCTATATTTTAATTACATCAGTTTTCAAGTTTTGTTTCTCACCATCATTTTCCATTTCCGAAGGCAACTTTACATTTTATATTTTAAATGGACCTCATTGTTGATCTAATGTAAAACATATGTATTGTACACTTATCTTAAAAACAAAGAAATTGAAAATTTAAATCATTAGAACAAAATAAGAGAAATTATTTAATTTTCGTACCTGTATTCATAATTTCCAGTTTCTACACGATATAGTGGTTCTTGTAGAGCCTGATAAGTGTATTCCTCTTCATCCATTTCTTTCACCTTCAAACAATAAGACTGGAAAAAAATTCAAGACATTACACTTTAATCAGTTCACACAAATATACAATAAAATGAAAAAAGAGATAATTATCAAATAACTTTTTAATTGCAATCACTATGTACAACTCTATAAAATAATAGCATTATATAATATTATTTTATCAAGTAAATGTACAATACCACAGAAAACACCAATTTCACTGACGTACGAAAAAACAATTGAAAGGTCATTGTAATAATAAAACATTAAGAGATAAATTTTCAAAAACATGTTCATAACATCATCTACAGCAAGTCTATTCAAAATGTAAAATCTGTATATATAAGAAAGATTTATTTACGTAGTTATGTTTACAAGATGAGTTTACAAATAATTTTTCATTTCATAAGTGGTTAGCTCTTATTAAAAAAACTGAATCATATTTAAAATATTAGAGCAGTCAATAAAAATATTATTAAACTTTAAAGGAAAAAAACCCTCTACAGCTTACCAGTGATGGAACATTAAATATAATAAACAATGTAATAACAGAAACATCATAAGCATAAAGCTTAGTTATTTCATAATAAAAAAAAGAAGAGAATGAAAAATAGATAATTTTAAATTATCTAATTTAATATTTCAACACGGCACTAGGACATTTTTTCTCTAAAAATGTTGATATTTTTACTTTTTTTTATAGCTTCCTACTAGCCATACTTTTTTACAGCTAGTTTTTACTTTATATATATAAATATATATAATTTTAGCTACCGTATTGGACAGAAAATTGAGAAAAGTAGTGTAATCAATTGACAACAGGAGAGTTTCTAACCAAGATAATTATGAATTTAATCTAATTTTAGATGAACAATGATTGCTATAAACAGACATAAAACAATTTTTCTCTCAGTCAAAAATTCTTAAAAAAAAAACATCCTATGAGGAAGTAAGGTACTCACCAGGTATTCAAACTTAACATCCGCATACTTCTTTATGGTCAACTTTGTATCAGGCACAGCTTTATTTAAATAAGTACCCAAATCACTCAACATCTAAAATTGAAGAAAATAAAAAATTAAACTAAACTAACAATTGTTGGATAAAAAACGTTTTTATACTTTATTCCATTTAAATGACCTATTTTAGACAAAAAAAATTATGAATAAAAAATAATGTATAGATAATCTATTAGAATTGATTATAATATCTATTAAATCATATATAATATACTGGGTATCTGCTACATTTTAGATTTTCAAATTCATGACTTTTCATGATTTTCCATGACTAATTCCAATAATTTTTCATGACTTAAAGAAGTTACTATTTTCTCCGACAAAAACGTAACAGTAAATTTAAAAAAGCATTATAATAACATTCATTGAAATGATAATTATAACCAAAACTGTTATACTATGCATCTTCATATTTATAGATTTTAAATTTAAAAAACAAAGTAAAGAAAGATTTGAAGCAATAAAATAGCTGAAAAAAAATACACAAGCAAATTTTTCTTTTCTGCAGAATTATATTCTAAAGATATTTTTCTTGTTCATCAGAAAGGAAAGAAATACTCCTTATTTGTCTGTTCTCATTTTGAAATTTAAAAAAAATCGCCAATGATTGGCTTGCTTCGGCTTGAAATTTAAATTGATCAAAAAATAAATAATAAAAATTCTTAAATCACAGAAGTACAAAAGATAATTCGCTCTAGAAATGATATTTTTTCTTTCATTTTTTGAAAGAACACCATAATTTTTAAAGAACATGATAAAGACACTTTATATTCTAATAAAATATGACCGTGAGTAGTGATTTTGTTAGGAATTCAGATATTTGGAACACAATGAAATTGAAGGGGGTGGGATTCCACTTTAAAAATTAGATTTTTCGGCGACCTAAATCCATGACTTTCCATGTTTTTTTTTATAATAAAAATCATGACGTTTCATTACAAATCTTGTTCAATACTAAAATTCATGACTTTCCAGGAGCGTGGATATCATGAATAAATTATAATTTAAAATATCTAGAAATAAAGCAATTGTTTATAAGCAGATTGGGTATGAAAGTTATTTAAATTCAAGTAAAAGAATGGTTTGTGTCCCTTTTCACAAAAATGACGATTGGATTGCTATCTGTTACGATTATTAAGTTTTGGCAAGTCAATAATGAAGAAAACAGATTCTCCCTGGGAGTAATGACACAGTGAATATGGGTCAAGCAAAGGAAAAACAGGTCCTGTCCACCTGGAAATTCCTCCAAAAATAACAAATGCAAAAAAACTAAAAAGTGTACAATTACTCTCTTGAAAAGTTACTTTTAAACAAAAACATTTACAAGGTACCCTTAAAAATACTATAATTCAGCAATAACATCCTAAAATAAAAAGCAAATGAATAAGAAAAACACTTACAGGCTTGACAGTTTTTAAGAATCTAATACCCAATTTTTCCATATTTCTGTGCGCTTCACCAAACTTTGTGAATGCTTCACTCGCTCGAGGTTGAGGCTCTCGTACACCAATCGAAGCAAATACATCACCAAATGCTGCAAAACAATACACAAGAGATTTAATGATAGATAAGTTTTTCTCCCATTGATTTTTTTTTTACAAAAACATAACCAATCAATGAAGCAAGTTATTTGCTTGGCAAAAAAAAAAAAAGAATAAAGAAATTACTAAGCCGCTTTTATTTACTTAATCTATATTCCAATAATAATGGCAGTTGTGCGTACAACATAACTCCACTTCATTAATTAACTTTGTACAGTTTTCCAACATTAGAAAAATTAGCAAAATGCCCACATGAAAGACTCATATTTAAAAAAGGCCCAAAGGTTGATTAAAAAAATGAGAATAAAGTGAAATCTCATCTCATGACTGACATTTCCCATTACTGAAACTTGCAAACTCTCTGGCAGTCTTTTAAGAATAAACCTCCTCCTAAAATGAACACCCATTTTGCCACACACAGCCAGTTATTTGCATCTAAAAATGCTCTTAAATTCCAAAAACTCTACTTAAAAAAAGAGTGCTAAATAATAGAATAAGGAGAGGAACATATTTTCGAGAGGCAGATGGAAAGAAGAAATTTTCTAAACGATTTTTTTAATGCTTTTGACTAATAACTGAGTGTATTATTATGAGTCGTTCACAATATGGTAATACAGTACAGAACCCGTTATTCGGAAATCAGAAAACCGGAAAACCAAAAAACCGGAACGAAATTCGATAAATTTTCCCGCCATTAAAAAAAATTTTTTTTCTTCATAAGAATTTAGGATTTTTATTTCTTTTTTGAAAGATGTTTACCATACCATCATTTTAGAAATAATCATTACTGTATTACTTCATCTTTTTTTCTTCTTTTTAAGATTATTTTATTTCCTAATAATATTTTTTTTTTNTAGGATTTTTATTTCTTTTTTGAAAGATGTTTACCATACCATCATTTTAGAAATAATCATTACTGTATTACTTCATCTTTTTTTCTTCTTTTTAAGATTATTTTATTTCCTATATTTTTTTTTTAGTTCGGTTTAACAATAAAAAAAACGGCTTTTTGTACAGATTCAGAAAACCGGAAAAATCAGTTATCCGGAGTAGTGATGGTCCCGATCGTTCCGGATAATCGGTTCCCTACTGTATTGTTAACTGCAACAACTCGCTTTTTCAATAGCTAAATGGTACCAGATGCTTTCTTATAAATTTTGTTACATACATTACCATAATTTTTGTAACACTAAGTTAATACAACAATTCATAATATTTCAGATTATGAATTGAATTTGGAGCTAGCCAATAGGAAATTATTCATTGAATTTCTAACAATATGGCTATTTATACAGTTTAATAACAAATATATACATATATAATAACAAATATATATATATATATATATACAGTTTAAATAAGACTATTTAACTGAAAATGGGGGCTATATCATGTTTCTAACATAGTCTTTAAATTAAATGGAAAAATTTTTCCAAATTTGCTGCTGCTATAACTGAGCTCTAGTTAGGAAATAGTTCAGAAAAAGTTTTACTTTTTTTTAATCAAAATTATCAGCCAATAAACTTTTAATATTACAGGTACGTTTTTTTTTCTTTTAACAATCTGCCTTTCAAATATAGCTTGAAAGACTTTTAACATTAAAAAAAGCCTTAATGTTGTTTTTAATACGTTATGCATATCTAATTATTTCATTTTATTAGTGAAAACAATTTACAGCACTTAATTTCTGAATAATCATGTCTTTCTCCCGAGCAAACAATTTTTCGGATCCCAAGGGGAACGATTTAGAAACTTAGAATAATTTTATAAATAATAAAATCCTTAATTACAAACCTTTTCTAAAAAAAGATAAACTATTAAAACAGAAATAAAATCATATAAAACTAAAAAAAAAACTTAAACTTAAAATATTCAAAACTTCAAATAAAACTCAAAACTTAAAATCATATAAAACTCAAATTTTTCAGTAAGAATTTCTATATATAATTAGAAACCAAAATTTTCTAATAGTAATTAGATTTTTTTAACCAAATTAGAAAAATGAATACAAATTAATTTAAACAGCACACAAGAATTCTTCCAAATTTAATTCCTTTAATAATAAATTAACTTTTATACTCAACTCAATAAAAAGCGGTAAAATTAACACTTTTGGTTGACTGTTAACTGAAAAACACAGATTAAATATACAATTGCAAATGCATTTTAATTTTTTTGTAAATCTAATTTTAATCTTAAAAGCTAAAGATTGCTTTAAAAACATAAAGAAAGAAAAAGAAAGATAATTTAAACTGTAAAAATCATATTATAATTCAAAAAAGGTAAAATAAGTTATTCATTTATTTCGTTGCAAATTTATAATAAATTTATACATTTATAATAGCATTTGTAATAATAATATGAATGTGCACGTGTGTCGTTTATAACTTCAGAACAGCCTGTTCCATCATCCTGAAATTTTGATAGTGGTAAGAAAAAAAGGTCAATTTTAGCCCCCGATGCTAAAAATTGTACAAATATTTCAATTAGATTGCTTAAGAGAGACAATTTAAAATAGTGTTTTTTCATTGGCTTAGAGCTAGCGCTATTGATATAAATAAAACTGTAAAATTAGTATATTTAGCACCAATTAAAATTGCATTAATACTGTGCAGTTTAAATACCGGTATAATGGAAAGAGGTGTTTTCTGAAACAGACAAGTACCAGAGAAAAAAAATTGCTTCGCTTTAACCATCATGATTTGGCCTTGTGCAATAACATCATTTCAAAAGATACTAGATACAGTTAATTGCTATTTTGATGGGATGATGACTAAAAACATGTTTTGCTTAATAATGTTAGACCATCAGTGAAGACAGAAAATAATATTAAATTTATAAAATTGGATATATTTTACCTTAATTAATCAGGGTGCGTAGCCAAATCTTTGAATCAGAAATAAGCACTTTTTAAAAACTTTTCAAGCACTTTACAAAAATTTTCAAGCACTCAAAAAATTCATATTCAATCAATGATATTATTGAAAAACAAAAACTTTTTATAAACAGTTTTAGCGTTAAAAAAAACCCAAAAAGAAACGGGCGTAAATCGAAACAATCAGTACTTTCCCACATCACCGAGTGAATTCAACTTGACCCTGAACTCAGAACAAAAGTACCCTTACCCCCTACGTCAAAAAAAGTGTTAGAAGTAAAATAAAATAAACAAGAACAAAATTAAAATAAATTAAAAAGAAAAACATTTCATAAGGATCTGATATTCTCTATCCGAATTGGAGCACTCGGGTTTCGGTTTAAAGTGTGCGCGCATGCACAAGTCATAACGTGGGTACGACATGAAGTCCGCATGAATGATTACGTAGCAAACTCCCCATTTTTCGTGAAATGCATGGGATCCACCAGATATCACTGAAGGGAGAAGAAAAAAAATTTCGGAAAAAAAGCACTTTTTAAAAACACCAGCTGAAAAAAGCACCTTTAAAAGCTTTTAAAAACGAAATCTCCAAAAAAGCACCTTTAAGTACTTTTTACAAACGCTACGCACCCTGTTAATTGAGTTAGTATGTGTCTAAGTTTTGTGCAAGATTTTGTATTGTTGTTCAGTACTGATTCATTGACAATTTAAATTTTTAACCCCTTACGGAGAATGAGTATTCAGCTAACATTGAAAATCAAAACATAAAGTTAAATATAAATATATTTTACACATATAGACATTGTCATTCTGGTGGGTAAATAAAATTATCCTTGGGTGTGTCACTGTTGCATTGTTTTAGAGAAGACACAGTAGACAAAAAGAACACTTAAATTCATTTAAAAATAGAAAGTGGTCATTCAGATTAATAAAATTCAAACTTTTAAGACAAACACTTGAAAGTCTTTACTATGCAAGATTAAATTAAATAACAAAAAATGGTTGGCAAGAGAAACCAAAATTGTCAGTTCTTGAAGAGAGGAATCTATAGCAGTGATAGATGTAAAATAAAGCATTACATTGATGAAGCTATTAACCAAATAGAGATCATTATTTGTTAAACACATAGGATAAAGATATATGTTTTTACCTCTATAAACATGACACAATTCAAAATAAGCTCTAAGGACTAGTTTTGCATGCTCTGACAAGCCTTTGTAAACATATTCATTTCTTTCTAACTCTTCCAACTTCTTGACTAGAGAATCTAACAACAGATAAGTATTGAAAAGAAAATTAATTATCTACATACATAAAAAAACCCAGCACAATAAAGAAATGAACTTACTTTTAAAATAGACATTTAAAACTTAAAATAATTAAAATAGAGTAAAACTTTATTCATCCATATTGGAAACACGATACCTTTGGATAGCTGAAATTTTAGAGATATAATCATTTCAAAAACCAAGGATTTTCATCATAGTTATTCTTTTTAAATTTTTTTATCAATTAAAATAAATAATTAAAATCGCTGAAAATGTTGAGTAAATGGTTTTTTTATTCAAAGAATGTAAAAATTATATATAGTTCTTTTGAAATTGTGAAATTTATTATTAACCTTAGATAAAATGGTTGTCAATGTTCAGGGCACTTTCTTATCTGGACATAATTAGAGTAAACTCATAGTAAAGTTAACCTAGGCATAACCTATTATGTAAGGTTTTTTTCTAATTTGTTTATTTTTGCTGATAAAAGAGGGTCTGAGCAATGCTTACATGACAAACTAAAGTTCCTTTATTGTCAAAAATCTCTTATAAATTTGAAAAATAATTCATTCAAAAAACGAATACTAAAATTCATAAGAAAACATTATATTTGAAGGAGACACTTAATAAAAAAATCTTAAAAGTTGATATTTATTTTTTCAGTCCAACATTAGTTTTTTAAGCTCTTTCAAATACAAATGATTCTGGCCTGTTAGGTTTGTTGCTCATCGAACAAATGAGTTGATGTGCATAATTAAATGCGTCGAAAAAATTTAAGATGACGAATGAATCAATGAAGTTGGATCGAATTGATTTTAAAGATATGATGACAATGCAATAGATATGATAATGGACATGGTGAAATGGCTAGAGCAACCTTGCCAACGGTATCTGGGAAAGTTTGCTTGCTTTTTGTTCTGCTTTGTTATTATCAATGATATGTTTGACAATACTTGCAGGTCAACAGAATATAAGACATGACATGTCACACACAATTTAGTCAGCTGAAAGTGAATTTAAGAGCCAGCTCAACTTTTTTTTTAAATACTTTAATGGGTGACCTAACATCAGACAAATTATCAGATAATTTCAGATCTAAAAAGTCAGAGGGGGATTTACACTGTTTTGGAAAGAATTTAGTTAATGGAATCAAACCTTAATTGCCTTTCTTAACAATTAAAATAAAAAATAATATTGACATTTATTTAACGATGTTCCTCCTCAACTTGTCTTATAATCATGAGCAGTTGCCATTAAATTTATTAGCTTTTGTTATAATTTGAACTAAAATGAATGTGTTGCAATAGACAGAAATTTAAAGCTGGGGAATCATATTGTTTACAAACACTACATCAAGATAAAAGGAATATTATGCAAGAAAGGATAAAGATAAATCACATCCAAAAATCTACATAGAATGAAGGGGAAAAAACATACAATGGGAATTTAAAAAATTTTAAGAATTTGGTTTTGAATTCATCTCAAAGTGCATATCATACCATTACAAAGTATTGCTCGACTTAAACCCAGTGCATCTGCTGTGGCAGAGCTCATATTCTCAACAATTCTGTGCTTTACTTTTTTCAGAACTGAAAGGAATGTGAAAATATAAATAAACAAAATAGCAATTTTTCTTTATTTACACTAAGATTATTGAATTTAACTTACTGATATCTAATGTCTTCCCTTGTTTAGGATCAGCATGAAGTTTATTATAGGCTATTGAAACTTCCTCCTGCCAAAGATAAGATAAAAACATGCTCATTCAATATTTCATTGTTCATCCAATATTTCACAATCAATGGAATCAAAATTGAAAATTAGGCTTTATTACACAAATATACAACATTATATGCTTTATTAAATAAATATTATTAACAAATAATCGACATAACAACTACTGTCATTCCAATGAAAACTGATATTATCCAACAAAATGAGTGCACGCACTACATTTTGACAAAAAGTAATAAAATAAATTTTGAAAATATTTTAACTGATTAATTAATAAAAAAAAGTAAATTGTTTTAATTTCAATTAAATATGATGGACTTATTTTTGGTAGAAAAAACTCCAAAGAACAGACAATATTGCAACGTAAAATTATTACGTAGTAAGTAAAATGCATGCATATCGTCTCTTAATTATTAAATAAACTTCAATGTCTAAGCTAATTCTAAATCAGGATAGACATAAAAATACCACATTTTCAATTTTTAAAATAAACTTATAAAGAAAGTGAAAAAAATAGAATTTCCAAGCAATAGAAAGAAAAGTAATTGTCATTCTAAGGCAGGAAATCGGTAAAACCTACATATTTTTTTTTTGCTTAACAATAACAGCCGTAAATATGATTCTGTTTCTGGAAGCCATAAGAAACCTATTATCACAGTACCTACCTTAGGCAGTATATTAGGTACATATAACTAAATTTAATCAATCACTTTCTTTAATTGTTTATTTTTTAGAAGATAGGAATAATTTTCTGAAATAAAAATGTATAGAAGTAGTTGAAGATTATTCTGCTTTAGCACAGAAGAAAAAAGCTCAATAGACTGATTTTATAACAAACAATAAATATATTTTTAAAAAGCTATTTTTCAATTATTCTTTAAAAAAAAAAGAAAGTAAACTATTTGAAATAATCACACAGAGAGTATAAAAAAATTGCAATAGCTTGAAAAATTCTGATGTATGATTTGACGAAATAACGAAATGTATGATTTGTACGAATGACGAAAAATTTGCAAGTTAACTTACTTTTAGTTTCATTTTAAAGAAACAATTGAACTGCTTGTGAATAAATTGGGTAATTAAACTTTTTATAATAATAAACACATTTTTCATAAATTTTATTACACAAGGACTTAAAGTATCTATTTAGAAAAAAAATCCATAATTGATTCGGATAACTGTGATGATTAAGTACCAGCAGAATCAAAGAGCTTTATCCAGAGACACTTCATACATTTAAAATTTGCAAGGTGGAAAGTCAAAGTAAGCTTACAAAGGGATCATAACCATATGTGGAAAAAATTGGGGAAGCACCTACCAAAGGACTGATTTAATGAAACTTGTACGGCAAAGGGACAACTTTTACAGCTACAGTAATTAAAAAGCATATTTAAAAACAGAGAAAGGTTTTGATCAAACATTTACAATTTGTTTATTGATATTTTGAAAAATTTCACCTTAAAAGAAACAGTGAATCCAAAGAATAGTTTAACCTAACTAGGTATTAGGTTTAAAGCAAGGAAAAGAAAGAAAAAAATGGGTTCTAATAAATTTTTCGGTTTAAAAAAAAATCTTTTTAGTAATAATTCATAATTAGGGCCCTATAAATTATGCGAAGATGCGGAANTTTTCAGTTTCAATTGTTTTCTGGATCATTCGCAACCTGCATGCCTAATTTTAAAAGACACCGCATCCTTGCAGCATAATTTTTAAAAATCGCCGCATCCTAGCCGCATAATTTTTAAAAAATTTCCGCATAATTTATAGGGCCCTATTCATAATTTATTTATAAAAATTAATTTACACTTTATAGTATCTTTAATATAAAATTCATTTGTGTTGTGTTTCAATAATAACAATATTACGTTAACATCAAAAGGAAAATCAAATTTGGATTTCAATTTATTTTTTTTTAAATTATAAATTTTTGCATTTCATAAAAATTTAAAAGAATGTATCATTTATGAAATAAGTAGGAATCAATCATCAGATTGTACCCATCTTACTGCACTGATCCACATTCGGTTACTTACCAAATCATGCTTTTTTTGTTTACCCTTTTGCGGTAATTTTTCCATCTCCACATAACACTAGACGAAGAACCTGTCAACAGCAATGTCAGATCCCCCCCTCCCACTCATATTTATTTTGCTTTTAAGGGGACATGGGACCTTGAAATCATAAAATTTTCAAAAAAAATTTTTTTTGTTAAAAATATAAAGATAGTCAGCCTGAATCACGTGTTGTTCAAATTTTTTCGATACGATGATTTTTTATGATTTTATAGCTATTTTTCTGAAAAGTGGGCGTGGCACTTTTGACGTTCCATAAGCTGTCTGTTTGTTTACATTGTAGTTATCAAGCTTATTTTGATTTTTTTTTATGTTCAAATCAATATTTCTATAAAATATTTTTTAATTAGTATAATGTGACACTGTTTGGCAACGCCAAATTAACTTTAACCGTACTTTTGTTTAACCGTACAATTGTGGGCACTTTGAATTCAAATGTATGAAATTTTCTAGCATGTTATCGAAATTCTGCAATATGCTTTTCCTATGTCAATGTCAATAATTTTTTTATTTATCTGGTATCAAATATATTATTTGTTTTATTAAAATTATAGAGAATAATGTTTTTAGTGTAATTTTTATGCACACAAAAATAATCTTTTTTCTTTGTTTCAAGGTTACATATGACATATTGATATGATGCATAACGAACAATATTTTTATGTAAAAATCGTTTGTATTGGTAAAAATTTAGCATTTATTATATTAAGAATACATCGGAAGTTCTTTTTATATTTTAAGCATGATATTATAGCTATTACAGTGAGTTTTAGTTAATTTACACAAAAAAAGTAGTTTTTCTCCGTTAACTTTTTTTGCATAATTTACTTCTATAATTTGTCCCTTGTGTCTGAATAATTGAAAATTTTGCCTGAAAATTTTTCATATGCTTCATATGACTGTTATAAAGACAATGTAGCATTGTTTTCACGAAATATTAATTATAAAGTTTTTTATACAACTTTAACTGTAGGAGGAAATGAAAATTTTCGAAAAAAAAGCGTCAAAACTAAAAAAAAAAAAAATTTCTCAAAATCTGTTGAAGTGAAACAATAACTGATGCTAGAGAGTCTTTATATCAAGAAAAAATTTTAAATTATTTGGATGAAATTTTAGACACAAGGGACAATTTTTGTATTTTTTTAAATTTTCATATTTTATTAAATTTTTAAAAAAATTTTGACCAAAATTGTTTTTACTTGGCCTATTTCCTAAAATATGCTAAAAAATAAATAAATTATGTTCATAATAGTAAAATTAAATTAAAAAACAAGTTTTCATAAATTTTCATTTCAAAGGTCCCGTGTCCCCTTAAGTTATAATTTTAAGATAATAACTATTATTAGCATTGGTATCAGTTATATTTCTCATTTGTAAACAGACTCATAAATTTCAAATTCTAGACAAGAAATTTAATTATACCAATGCTATTGTTAGAGTTACTTGCATATCATTTATAACTTATTTTTCTCATGCTGGATACAATAGCAAACCATAAGTTTGAGTTAAGTATGTAGCATAGAAACTATGCAGACAGACAGGATTCATTGAACAGATTTGTTGCACATCTACACCTGTTTTTTAAACAATTTTTTCTCAATTTCAAAATGCCGGGTGCAAATGCACAACAAACCTGTTCCAAACTCACTTTAAAAATGCTTGGCTAATTTCGTAAACAAAAATTTTCACAATTGTTTGACTTAGAATTTCTTCTTAAATTTACAATGAACATTTGATGGTCGGCTATTGGCCAAGTGTAGAAAAAGTGCATTTAGATCATGTTACTTTTGGTTGCTAGGGATGTGAAAAAAGTTTTTCTTTAATGTTCTATTTCTTTTTGGGTTGTTATTAAATATATGAAATATATTATTTATAGATTATTCAAGTAAAAAAAGTTTACCTTAACAGTTTTAATCATTTTGGCTACTTCCACTTTGCTCTTGCCTTTAACCGTTTCTCCGTTGATGGCAGTTATTTCATCTCCGCACTCCAAGGTTCCATCCTTCGCAACTGGACCATTCTCAGAAATTTGTACTAGGTAGAGGCAAGGGCAAAAAGGTGCTCCTCCTCCAATACTTATTCCAATCAAATTCTTGTCATCCTTCTGAAGATTGATGCACCCAGATGTTAGGGTCATACCCCTATAAACAAATCGTTATTAAAAGTAAAACCCAAATACATGCATTAATATTTTAAAATAATTCAGAGATATACACACTTTAAAATATTCATACAAACATAATAAACATTGTAAAAAACTCAATTCAAATGAACAATTATTTTACTCAAATATCAAATACTAAACTTGTCAAATACATAGAAACCTGACAAGTTGACCAAACATGTCAGTTGACCTCTGTAATAAAGAACTGAATTTATCCAATACATATAAATCAAATGAATGAAACCTTTGTAACCTGAAAGTCTGTCTATCTCTTAAGTTAACTACTCATATAAGTAAACTTTGATCGCTATTTTTAAACTCTTCATATGATGATAAAAAAACCTACTCAGAGATTTGTTTATACTTACATATTATGTGTTGAACCTTCACGAAATTAGTGAAATAGTATTTAGACAACCTAAATCTCTTTATGAGTTGAGCATAAGGGAAACTTATATAAGCTTTTGCAATAAATAGGTTTTTAAGTAAAATAAAATAAATTTTAAAATCGAGAAAAAAAGGTAGTTTTCTTATTACACATGCACCATTAGATATTTTAAAAAAATATTTACAACGAATTACTGATGTGTATAATAAACAAAATATCTATATCTAATATTTTTAACTGACCAGTTTAATATTTGACGCCCGGTGGCTGAGTGGTAGCGCTTCGCGCTGCCGTGCCACAGGTCCTTGGTTCGATCCTTGGGCCGGGCAAGGCCGACTCAGCCTTTCATCCCTTCAGTGGGTCGATAAAATGAGTACCAAGCATGCTTGGGAACTAACACTGGGGGTTCCGCGTTCGGCTGACCACCTGACCGGAACATATGCTCCTGCACCCCAGAGCCCAGGGTCAAGAAAACTGAGATGGGCACAGTCGGCCTTGGCCCTCTTAATGGGCTGTCGCGCCACTGAGTTAGTTTTAGTTTAATATTTAAATTTATGCAACATATTACAATTTATTCTGTTATTATTTTCCTTTCTTAACATTTATGAGATATTTTCTAAATATAATTTTAAAATCATGTTAAAAAATTGCATTTATCTTTATTTTACTTCAAAATATAAGATATTTATAACAACATAAATAACATACTACAGTGGAACCCCGATTTTACGTTGTCCGTTTCGTACGTTATCCCGCTTCTTACGTCATTTTCTGCTGATCCGTGAAAATTGCCTATACCGACAATGTTAAAAAATCCCGGATTTTGCGTTACCCCTTTTATGAAAATCCCGCTTGATGCGTTTTTCTACAAACAGATCAAAAAAAAATTTTTTTATTCTATTCGAAATGTTTTTGCTCATTTTTCCGTGCTAGCATACCAAATTAGATTTTCAGTCGGTTTTGTTTGAGTTTCAAAGCTATAGCATTTTATCTCATTTTCGAAACCTCAGTCATCGTGTTCTTTTCTCGAAAGAAGATGTCGAAACGAAAATGCTTTTCTCTAGCCGAAAAGGCTGAAATCATCGAAAAAGCTAATGAATTTCATGGCACTAAAGTTGATCTTGCTAAATCTTTGGGTATTGCTTATTCAACTTTGCAAATGATTTTAAAGCAAGAAGCTTCAGTAGAACTGAACGCTGAAAAACTCGGAAAATATGCCAAGAAGAGAAAAACCCTTAAAACATCTCCGTATGATGAGTTAGAAAAAATTTTAATGAACTGTTTCAAGGAAGCCAGAGCAGCAAAGATTCCTATATATGGATCCATCCTGAGAGAAAAGGCGCTTGAAATTGCTGAAAGGCTTAAACTCCAAGGCTTCAGTGCCTCAAATGGCTGGATCGATCGATTAAAAAAAAAGGAACAATTTATGCTTCAAATCTATCTGTTGCGAATCCGATAGTATAGATATGTCAATTGTGTAACAGCGGAAAGAAGAAACTCTGCCAAATTTATTAAAGGGCTATAATCCAAGTGAAATATTTAATGCGGACGAAACGGGATTGATTTTTAACCTATTGCCAAACAAGACATTGACAATTAAAGATGAAAATTGCCATGGAGGAAAGCTTTTAAAAATGTGCTTTTATGTTTTGCTCTGTGCAAATGCCAATGGAAGCTAAAAGTTAACGCCTCTTGTGATCGGTAGAGCAGAGAAACCACGGTGTTTCTAAAATATCAAAAGTTTTCCTACCGATTACACTTCAAACAAAAAAGCATGGATGACGCAAGCATTATTTAAAAAGTTTCTTAAAAAACTGGATAAGAAAATGAATTTTCGAAAGCCCAACATAATTTTATTCCTAGACCAATGCACTGCTCATTTAAACCTTAAATTGAAAAACGTGCGAATAGAGTTTTTTCCAGCTAACTGTATGAGCAAACTTCAACCACTGGATTTAGGAATTATACGATCATTTAAAGAGAGTTGCCGGAAGCAACTGGTTAGAAAATCTCTAATGTTTCTTGATTCTGGTGAATTTCAGGATGCTTCTAAGGCAAAAATTAATGTTCTTGAGGCTCTTAATTTGATATCTTCAGCTTGGGACAGTGTCGACATAAAGTGCATTATCAATGGATTCATTAAAGCAGGATTTTCAAAATCGGAGGAGGAGAGCGCTGTTGTTTTGGAAGAAGAAGAAGGTAGCGTGTTTGAAGTTGAGGACCTTCCGGAAGTCGATGATGCATACATCGACTGTGACACAGATATCATTACTTCAGAAATCCCTTCCATAAGTGATTTAATGCCTGATTCCGACGATAGTGCTGATGACGATGAAATAACAGAAGACGTGCGAACAGCTGGTCAAGCGATACAAAGCATAAAAACTCTAAAACAATTTTTACTTGCAAATGCAAATCACGAAGCAAATTTGCAAAAACTTGATAGTATTGAACGAGCTGTATACGAAATTGTAGCTAGAAACGAAAAGCAAGTATAGATTACTCATTTTTTCCACTAATTTAACTGGTAGGTGTTCATTTTTTAAAATATGCATAGATTTTTCTTAACCCCGATTTTACGTTATTCCGCTTCGAGCGTTTTTTATCGCTAGTCCGACAGAAAACGTAAAATCGGGGTTTCACTGTATATATTTTAGAATAACATGCTATATGAGATAATGAAAAAAAAATGACTCATAAATAATATGGTATATATATTAGGATAACATTTTAATAAGAATGTAAAAAAAAATTAGGATAACATGTTAATCATCTGACTAAATTGACCACTAAAGTAAAGCAATGTAAGTGATCAACTTACACAGGCATAACTATATTTGGTACTTGGCCAGCATTGGATAAATTATTTTTATTAAAAATTCTTATTACATTTTTTTGAGTAAATAAAATTAAGAAATTTAAAAAATTTTGAGTCTTAAAATGATATGTTTAAATTATTTATATAAGTTTGCCACAAAAAATTCATTAAAATAGTGTCCGGTTACGTTTACTTTAAATTTCAAAGTCGTTTTCGAAATGTGAATTCTTTGGACTTCAAATTACCATGTGCCACAAAAATAAACCTTTTCCTAGAAGAAAAAATTTTAAGCTCTGTTGATTAGATTTAAGATATTGATTAATATCTTAAATCTACTTTAATCATGTGCAGGTGATAAAATTTTACTAAAAATAATAATAATAATAACTATAAAGATATTGCTCTATCAATGTTAATACAACTAATTTCGTGTTAGTGTTATTCTTCATTTTACTGATAGTATTAAATTAGAATTTAAGTATAATTGCATTTTACACAGATAGATGGTGGTTGAATGTGTTCAATCAAGTTGGATATATTGTAAGTAAGGCTAGAGATAGTAACCCAATACTGTCGACCATCAAGAAACACTCATCAGATTGTTTAAAGTAAAAAAAGTGTGACATTGTTTAAATGGTTACTTCATGACATATATTGATAAAAAAATGGACTTTAATTCCCTTTCTTCAAAACAAAGAAGCAAAGTAACAAATAAATGAGAAAAAAATTTAACTCTTAACTTAATTCTGTTAAAGAAGTTTTATTTTAAAAATAGCAAAGATGGAGTTGCATTGTAATTTAAAAGCAATTGAATAAATGTTAAATATTTTTCTCATCAATTTATAATCTGATGGCAACATCTTCTATGTTTGCAACAAAAATCAGCATGTTTCCAATGAAGGGAACCTTTTTTTTTTTAATGAAGTATGTAGTTTACATACCATTTTACTTTTTTAAACCAAACAGTTACCGTATTGCAATTTGTATTAATTTTCTTATTCATACAATGGATTGCATAGCCCTAAAATTCTACATAAAACATTGTAATCTTGTTCTTCTGTGCTCAATTATCTACCACAAACAACAACTTTAAGGCAAGATTTCATAGTTGTAAGAGTGACTGTTTTCCCATAAATCAAATGACATAGATTTCATTTTTTTGCATGCATCAAGGTAATTTCTCTCCATAATGTAACATATAAATATACATATGTTAAAAAAAATTCTAAACTTCAATTTTGGAAAAGAAAATGATATCTTAAGACATTTCTGAAGGCATAAAATTTTGCAAGAGATCGCTTTGAAACTCTATACGAAGATTTAAGCATTTTTAAAGCGAAGTTAATATTAAGGCTCAATTTATAACAATGCCAAAATCTGAGTCTTCAACTGAATAAATGTGAATTAACTGATGCAATTCTGAATTATAATATTTATTCAATAGTTTCACTGGCCCATAATATTGTGCACTTATTAAAAAAAAAAAAACTACAAATGTTTACTGTTGAGAACAAAATGAAAACTATTATGAATGTTTTGTGTAAATTTTTTTAGCAGAAAGAAAAAAGAACAAAAATAAATAATACAAAACAATAAGTTTTGAAAAACAAAGCAAAATAAATAAAAGGAAATAAAAGCATATTACTAAATAGCATATTAAAATAAACAAGCCAAAACAACAAAACAAAATCAACAAAATAACAAAAACAAATGAAATTAAGCAAAACAAAGTTACATGCGATCTTCCATGTACTGAAAATAAGGCCCACATTCATCCGGATCAGACATATGGATTTTTGAATAATCTGTTGAAAACATCCTCACCACCTTAGAAAATAAAAATAAAACACTCATAATAAAACACTCATCAACATGTCAGATTGCGATAAAAAAAATTTAAAAAAAACTTTTAACATTTTTATTTGAATTTGGAATGTAAATGTAAAATATATGTTACTGTTGTTTGTTAATTATTCAATTTGCTTTGATAGCAACCAAAATAAAAATAGCTTTTCAAAACTGTATAAGTTAGAAAATATAAATAAAATGATTTATAATTCATAAGCAAAAATGGTTTTTACACTACCTAAATTGTAATGTGTAATAATTTTGTTCTTAACTACCTCTAATTAGCATACCTAGTAAATATCCAATACAAATAAGATAAATGCACACAAATCAACTATAAAATATTGAACAGGACAAAATATTAGATACAATTAATATATTATACGAATAACAGTCACTGATAGAATAACATGAGAGGATACATGCCAAATACCTGTTGATGACTTTCAACAATGTATAAGATTTGATAACGTCCGATGTTGTTAAAAATTATAGGAAGAATATTATTTTGAAAATTTTCTATTATTTATATATACACCACCTAAGCTAAGTAAAAGTGCCTTTACCTGAGATTTCCCTACCTGTAAATTAGACAGATAGCATTATAAATTGGCAAGATTTTGGTCGCTTATAGCTAGATTTTAGAAAGAGGGTGAAAGATTCAAAAAACTAATTATTGAATTACATAATTTTATCTTTTTTAAATTTAATAAAGAAGTCATTATAACGTTAAACAGTGTTAATATGTAGAAGAAGTTGAAATCTTGTTTTTTATTTAAAATAATACAGTTTAATAAGTCAGAGTCAAGATTGCCTATATGACTTAGCACTGTACATTGGGATATTTATTACATATAAAATTTTTCACTTAACTATTATTTCAATCTCCATTTTTTGTCATTAGAAAATCTCATAAATAATTCACTTTGCCTGTTTTCTGTAATAACATAATTCTCCAAAATAAGTGGGGTAGCCTATTGTAAATTTTTACCATTTAATCGACTATTACATTTCAGTTTAAAGAATATTAAAAAGCTAGGGAAGATTACAGTAAATACGTCAAAACTGTCTCTAAGTTTTGATGACTTGATGGTGGTTTTTAGCAAAAAACTAAAAAAGAAATCAAAAGGTATAAATCACAGCCACCGTTGGGCAAAGTAGAAAATGTTTTTCTTTTATATTTTTCCAAATTAAAAAGCCTCTTGACACCTTAGGCAGAGTAGTAAGCCTGAACTTATACTGATGTGGAAATAACCCCTTAAGTCATACGAGTTCTTACAGTAAGTAAAATGCCTTTAGTAATTTATAGATAAAATAATGTTTTAGAAAATCCAATAGAAAGATTTGCTAATAAAATTGTGAATACAAACAAAACTTCATATTTCTAACCTAAATTGTGGTTTGTTAGAACAAGTTTTATAAGAATAAAACTACAGAAAGCTTAGATCGAGATTCGTCCGAAAGTGCTAACAAATTTGAGATTTTTAGAGGCTACGACAGGGATAGGAGTTAGTGTAACAAATACCTTCAGTTGTTGTGCATATCAATCTAAAATACAATAAAAAAATGCTACGGAAATTTATAAAATTTTTGCATAAAAGCAAATACACTTCAAAATTTGTACAAAAAATTATAATTTGTACACGCATTCTCCTTAATGTGTATTGAATTCGATTTGTTGAAAACAAAAAGCGTATTCACTAACTAAATATTTTTTAAATCAATATATTTAAAATTGCATAAGGAGCTTTTTACATTTTATCTTCTTCCATAAAAAATGAATCATCGTTTTCCAAGTCTAACATTTTTATTTCTTGATATAATACACAGCAATTGAATTCTTGTTAAATTATTATAAGTAGCCGAAAGAAGAACAAAAAAACAATTGAACCCCACATCAACAAAAACAAACAACAGTTTCGGTTAACGTCTATAACATTTGTTCGATGTTTTATTAATTAAAAATGTTAAGGTATGATTACAAAATGCACAATACATTGAATACAATATATATTTTTAAAAAACAGTTTTTAGCTGTCAGTAGTGTGTCAAATTAACTTATTTAATGAATTTATGAGTCTAGGTAAAAAGTAAGAGATTACAAGCGTTTCAACATACACATACAACTGCAACTTCAACTTCCACGTCGATTGTTTGCAAGTTATTTTTTGTTTACATTATACTTTAATCGTCATCGTTTACCTCATTAAATTCACGCATCATGGAGATTTTAATCTAAAAAAATAAAAGAATTGAACCAGTTGTTCCCATTTTCTACCAGTAATCACTAATACTGTTTTTTCCTTATGGGTCTTTGGTACACCTGCCACATAACTAAATCCTTTTTCACGCGTGAAGCTTATCGAAGGAACAGTTCCATCTCTCTCTTATTGCTTGAAACATGAGAAAATAAATAATTAGCAAATATTTAATTCTTTTCTTATTTATTTCAACCATGGGAGAGGTTTTAGTGTTGCTATTTCTATCATCTGCCATGCTAATAGGATGTTATATGGCAGGAATGATTCCATTGATTGTATCTTTGTCTGAGGTAATCACTCATGCTATGTTCTTTGGTTGCCTATAAAATTAATATTTGCATGCATGTCACATTTTTTAAAAATAAAATCTTGTATTTTATTGTAAGCAATCTAAATCAGAGTATTTTTTTCCTTCCCTTTTCTGAATAAAAGATTTATTGCATGTCAAAAAAACTAAAATCAATAAATGTTAGAAACAAATGAGAAATTTAAAACAAATCTATATCAATTTTACTTGGTGCACATAAAACTCTTCAGTGATTTTTTTAAAGCTTGATGTGCTGTATTAATTATTGATTAATAGTAAATTTAAATTGAATTATTATATTTTATTAAATTAATTTTAATATTGATAAATAGAAAGGGAATTTTTAGTAGTTATAACAAAACATGAATTGGAAGCGGGAACGTTCTTGCTTTGGCCAAAGCTTTGCATTTGCTGTTAGAACAGATGGAACAATACAATATTGATTTGATTGCCATTCAGGAGATTTTAGAGAAGTCAATGGAATTTGACATTGAGACATACCATCTTTTTATTGATTTTAAGGCTGCTTTAGTATCAAGAGAAATTATCTTTTTGAAGCACAGAATACCTTCGAAACTCATTAAATTGACGAGACTTACATGGAAAGATGCAAAGTGTAAGATTAAGTTTCTGGGGTCTGTCAGAAAATTTTGACACATTTATAGGTGTTCAACAGGGAGATTCTCACTCCTATCTTTTTAATATTACACTTGAGAGAGTTATTCGTGATTCAAACATCAATACCAGTGGTCACATTTTTACTAGATCAGTACAACTACTTGCATATGCTGATGATATTGAGGAAATTGCTCGTTCCTTTCCTTCCCTGAAAGAGGCATTTCTTGTCCTTGAGGTGGCTGCAAGACAAGTGAACTTAGTCATAAATGTAGAGAAAACAAAATATATGTTTTTCTCAAGAAACAGAGTCCCAGTCCCCTATCTTGAAATAGATTTGAAACAATAAGGAGTTTTACTTACTTAGGATCAATTATTACTATTGACAACAGAATGACTCCTGAAATAAAAAATTGACTATATCTGGGCTGAGAAAATTTATTAAATCTAGGTTTCTTTCTAGTAAAACAAAATTTTTAATCTACAAAACTCTTGTCTGGCCAGTTTTGACTTACGCTTCTGAAACTTGAACAATGACAAAACTGGAGGAAAATTGTATCGCAATATTTGAGAGAAAGATTTTGTGGGTATACTTGGTGGTGGGAATGAAAGCAATAACTGGAGAAGGAGATTTAACTTCCTACTGTACAAGATTTATAAGCAACCCAATATTATTAAATACATATAAATAAATAGAATGATTTGGATGACCCACATGATTCGAATTAGTGATGACAATATAATAAAAAGGAAGCCCACTGGAACAAAAAAGCAGGGAAGGCCACAATTGAGATGGGCTAACTCAGTGGAGTCCGATTTTCTTCAATTAATGAAAAGAATTTGGAGATCAAAGATAAATCTGAAGCCATTCTGGAGAAATCTTCAGAGGAAGGTATTGGGCTGTATGTCCATCTATGATGATGTAACAAAAACAATTATGTTATAACTTCTCTCTTTCACTTTTTCTTTGTTACTTTCTTTGGCACAGTTATTTTCTTTTTCAAATTTGGCGTTAGAGTTAGGATTGTAAAACAATTGAATTTCCTGATTATTTTTTTTTTATAACAAAAATGCCTATAATTTCATAATAAGTACTATGAATCATAGTGTATGATGACTTAAAAAAATAATACATACATTATGATTTGTAGTTTCAAAAATTACACATTACACTGCTAGTTTGACTTTATGTTATGCATACTTCGGTTAAGGGTCGCTATAGATTAGAAGAAGTTTTTTCAAATGTCTTAACAAATCAGGTAAAGGTATTTAATTGGAACATTTAGATATTCTTAAAAAATTTTAATAATTTCTTCTGAATTTTTTTTTGTTGTTTACTTTATATCAATGAATAGATTATAAGGAGAGAAAAAAAACAGATTTTGACAGCTCTCACACATATATTTAGATTTATTTATAAAAGTATTTTTAACTAAAAAGTTACTTTACCCTTCGTTATTTTAAAAATGAATCAAATACATTAGTTTTCAGTATTAACAAAACAGTATATTCACCATGACCAATAAACCAATTGCTTTTAAAAATAACTAATAATTATAAAATAATAAGGATAGATACCTCATAGATTACTGGAAGATAGGAATATTATCCATTATGCTTCATGACGAGAGTATTTTTCTATAAAATATATTGCTTGGTTTGTAAGTTTATATTTAAAAAATTATTTGTCTTTAATGTAAGGTAAAAGTCTTGTATTGTGTTTTATTTGTTATAAATGCATAAATATGACTGAACTGAAAATCAGCATGATTTTATTAAAATAAGTGTCATCGATTAGGCGAATTGGAATGAAATTTTTCTTGTAAGTGCTTATTACATTACAGCCACCTTAGTATAAAAAAGTGGTATACAATGTAGCAATTCTCTTACTTAATCTTTCTGTTAAGAGCAAAAATCTACAGAAAAATGAAATGTCGCACAAGTGTTTTCAACTGCATTTCGCCTTAAAAGAAATAAAGGGTATTTCAATTATATATGTGCCTGGTGCCTTTACTATGTGCAAAAATAATTAAAGGATAATCATAATACTGCATTTGAATTAATTGTGATAAAATGTACTTCTGAGGATTAAAAAAAAAACACTTAGGTAAAAGCACTTCTGATAGTTTTAATGTATTTCTTTTGATTGCAGGACAAATTACAAATTGTTTCAGTCTTGGGAGCTGGACTTTTAGTTGGGACTGCCCTCTCTGTGATTATACCAGAGGGTGTTAACACATTATACTCAACACAATTAAGTAAGTTGCTTTCGTGTTTGATCTTAAATGCCAGGCTTGAATAAAGAAAGCATTGTTTACACTCTGTTTATGTCTCAGATCCTTAGCAAATATTCATAGAACTGTTTTAAGAAAAAAGTTTCTCAGACTCAATCTAAACAAAAGCTTTAATGTTAACAAACTATTAAAACTTTGAGATATCTGTATTCAAGCTTTTGTTTGAATTGAGTCTAAAAGCTTTTTCTCAGAAAAGTGTTTTTTTTTTTTTTTTTTTTTTTTTTTTTTTTTTTGTCTTAATAGCTGTGGTTGTAAACATATGAGGTTTATCTAAATGATGCTATCAATATTATCTTTTTTTCGTAATTATCAACATGAACATGAAGCTAAATTAGTCACGTCTTGTTGGCTCAGAACCACCAAAGAACAATTATCAGTGTTCCTTTGGACAAGCAATCGATGCTAAAAAATGGCATATTACTGTTTTTTTTTTAACTTTCAATTTTTAGTTTTATACAGTTTTAATATCACAAAATAGCATCATTTCATCAAAATTGAGAACATTTTACATTCTTTGTATGGTAATTTTCCATTTAAATCTACTTTATTTACTTTTTTTTAACAAACTAATAGAAACATTTAAACTGGCCAGTGAAAATGTAACATGACTGTACATCTACAGCTAAATTAAATTATATTTTATTTCAACAGAGCAGCTAGAGGCTTTGAAGCACATTCAAAAGGAAGTCTTAACTCAAGAGTCAGTTTCTCAAGCGCACATTCCAGAAATACATGACTTTGAGCCCCATTCTGTCATTGGGGTTGCCTTAGTCTTAGGATTTATATTCATGCTACTAATAGACCAAATAAGTTCAGCTCACAGCCTACACTCCTCAACAGCTGGTAAGTCTCCTATGAGTGGAAGATATTTTTAAGATAGTTTTAAAATTATAAGCTGTTTAATTTGTAACAAAAAACACTATCCAGGCCATTCAGCAACTGAGAAAAATGCATCTCAGAAGTTTAAATTTGACATACTTTCGTCACTTTTAAATATGTATTTAATGCTAGCTTTTTTTTCCTTTACATAATCTTACATTGCACTTTGTTTTGCTGTGCGAAAGATATACTATTTTGAGACTTGATGTTATGAAAGAATGTACAAGAAGTAAGATAGATAAGAAATATTTGCTGATTAGTTCAAGAATAATGAAGTCCACTTTGTCGTCTGAAAAAGTTCAGCTACAAGGTTAAAATTTGACATGCTGAAAAGACCATTTTTGTTTATGCATTTAACACAATTTTTTTCTTAATTCTTGTTTGTTAAAAAATTTTTGAAATTTTAAGTGCTTTTTCTTGAGATTTTTCACTTTATTTACTTTAAATAATAATGTTTTCAATATTTAGGCAAATTTATTCATCTCTCACATGATCTTTATTTTATAAATTCTTATCAAAAGTAACAACAACAAAAAAAGAAATTTTATGTTGCCAGATATATCTTAACCTTTATATTGAAATTTTTAAAAATATAATAACTTAATTTTAAAAAAATGAATCCATTTCCAATTCAAACTGTTATAGGGATTAGTCTCATTAATAAGTAAAATTGCTTTTTACTAGTTCTATGTTATGTCACACGTTTTTTTTTTTTTTTTTTTAAATATACTTAAATTTTTTTCAGATCCAGATAATTTGTCATGATTATTAACGAAATGTTCTTTATTTTTATGGAAAATATTGACTTTAAAAAATAAAAAAAAATATGAATGCAAAAGAATTATGAGGGGTTTTGAGCGGGGTTAACAGGAGGCAGAGCCTTTTAGTGGTTAGAAAATAAAGTAAGTTCATAAAAACGAATGCAAAAGTCAGTCTTTGTCCCACATAGCATAAGTTTGTCAATAATTCCTTATGATTCTTATTCTAGGTTTTCCTTAGTCTGTGGTAAAAAATTTGCAAAATCTATGTAATTTTGTGTGACTGAAAATGTGAAAGGCATCATCACTTAAAAAAGTAGTTTTAACTCATATGTATTCATTGTGATATTAAAAAAGATATATGCCAAAAAAATAATAATTTTCGTTGGATAAAATACAATGGATGGCTGAAATTTTCTGACACAAATAAAATAGTTTTTTATTTTTATAATACTATATAATAGTGTAATCTGATGGAATTGATACTAAAATCAAGTAATAATAGTTCTCTATTTGTCAAGTAAAATGAAAAATTTTAAATGCATTCTGTTTTTTGAATAAAACTTATATCTGCTAAACAATTTATGTTTTGTTTAAATCTGTTACAGATGTTGAATCTTCCTCTAAGCAGGATCGTCATAAAATTACTGCTACTATAGGACTTGTTGTACATGCTGCTGGTATGTTGTACTTTCATTCATTTTATATTGTTATTACTATAATAGAATATCTAAGAGTATTGGGGAGCTTAAGGAGGCGCTGTATTGCGAGAGGCATTTTTTATGGTTCATTTTGTTTTATATGTATTGGTACTGGCAAATACGATATAGGCCCTATCTAAATTTTGATAAAAATCACAATGATGTTTGTATGGGGGCTAAAAAGTTGCCTGAAAAAATATAAATTGCATTCATTAGGAAATCGACACTTGATAAGGCTTAAATGTTACAGGATATGGTTATGTATAAATGACCATTATATCATGCAAATAAAGAAAGGAAAATTTATAAAAATTAAATAATAATTTTGAGTTATTAGAATCTCTAAGTGCAATTGCTGCAGATGCAAGAAAATAAAAATTATAATCTACCCACAGAATGACATCATATAAAGTAAGTCATTTAATAAAAATAGAAAAATCTTTGATGATTTAAAATCTAAAGATCTTTAAAATTATTCACCAGAATTGTCATCAGAAATAAGATCTAAATATTCAGTATTCAGATCTGTTAATGTTATCATTAGAATAGTGTTCATTTCCATTAAGAAAGAATGCAAAAATCCACTTTTGTTGCCATCAAGCTCATTTGAGATTCCTCACCTCTTACAAGAGATCATTATTTTTTTATTTTATAACAGTCATTGAACAACCAAGTCAATTTTTTGGGTTTACGACTAGTAATGTTCAACTCTGTAGCCCTGTAATTTTGAACCCAATCCAGAAGACAAGGGAACTTATGGATCAAGTATTGGGAGAATTTCACTTTCGTTGGAGGTCTTTTTAATGGAACTAACCCGCATTTGCATCACATAGAAAGGTAAACCTCCCACTGTTAGCCTGGCGGCAAGGGGACACTAACCCATGATCTGTCTTCCACCAAGGATATTTTATGCAGCACTGTGGTCGGTGCAAGCCGGAAGCAGAATTTCTATCGACCAGCCAAACCGAACGCTCGATCCCCGGAATCATCACGGTTCAAGAGTTCATTATAGCCATCTCCAAGCAGTAGTTAAAGCCCCCAAGTCAATAATATCTTAATGGGAGGTACATTTTGAATTCCCGGATGGTGTTATTTCCTACTGCTGAATAACTTTTCCTACTCTCCTTACTCCGCTTTCAAAGAATGCCATCCAGCACGCATCAGCGGATAGTTCAAGACTTGTACAACTTTATTCACCCAATCTCTCATGCACTTTCTATTGATATTAAAATGTTTTAACAAAAATGAAGCTTGTAATGAATTTAGTTGAAATTTAAACCATTACCCTTATGTCATTTTATAGCTTTTAATTATGGCTTTTAATTTTATGCCTATTATGTACAAAGGGAGATTAAACATCTTGCCTCTAGAAATGATGGATACAATTTGATTCTTTAGTCACTGTAAACGTGTGCATGTTTCATTATGCACCCCATCCATTTCCTGTTTTTCTTTTTAAACCATGATTCTAATAAAGGGTGGGATTGCATGTCTTTTACTCTTTTTCCAATGAATTCCTGAATAAATGCATTAAATAGATTTGTTTCATGTATTTATTCTTCAGTTAAAAAGATTCAATTCTGCTGCCTCTATGACCCCCCTTCCAAATGTTAGTACAGCATATATTAAGTTACAACTTGCTACATCGGAGCTATAGTTTAATTGCAGCTCAGATTTTCTTGTTTAGATATGCATTCGCTTTTCTTGTTATTTTTCATTCGCTTGTAGTTTGGCAATAGTTTCTTTGTTTTTGTAGATATTTTTATTTGAATATTTATATTTAATTGCACTTACTATACTGTTATGTATATTATAGTATTGATTAAGTTATTTTTAAAAATGCTTTAAAATTTAAGTGATTTTTATAAACTTTTTAGAATATAATAAAAGTTATTATAGAATCATTTGTTATGTGTCTTTAAAAACATGTAACATGTCTTTGAAAAAAAATTTGGCACAGATTGGCTTGGCTTTTTTAACATATTAGGTCAGCTAATACAGAGGATATGCAGTGTGGAAATTTTTCATTCAAAGAGAAAATGTGGTGACCTTTCTACAAACCCCACCTAGAATGAACCCTGCTTTATATCTTATCTTTATATATCCAGTTTTTTTTTATTTTTTTTTTTTACCTTCTCTTTTGAAAACGATTAGATTTTCAGTTTTAGTAATGAATATAAATGTATAAATCTCTGCCCCTAAAAGTCTCAAATTTGTAGAAACAAGTTAGTCACTATAATATAATAAAATATTTATGCAAATTTCTATGTTCTAAGAAATTTGTATTAAAAGCATTTTTTGAAGCTGAATAAATAATTTTCTTCTAATTTGTAAATTGAATTAAAGCTATGATTTTTCTTTTAAAAAAAATACTCAGTTGAATTAAATTAACTGATTTAAATTTATGTGACCCTGGTTTAGAATAGAAATACTTGTTTTTACAAGTTTTTAAAACGAACAAAAAATAACATTTATTCTAATTATGTACCACAATATGTTTTTCGAATTTTTTATTTCATTCATCTTCTGATATTTGCTGGATATTGTGTTCATATACATTTAGTTAGTCATTATAGTTACCTATTAAAATGTACTATTTTCTTTTATAGTTGAAGAGGTATATTATTAATGAATAATATAAAAATGATACCATAAATGTTAAGTACTACTGATGACTGGGTGACCAATGCATATACACTCATGATCAAAAATAAAGGAATGTGTTATTTAAACAAAGAGGGCCTTATTTTGCTCAGTTATTTTGCTCTGAATGTACATTATTACAATATTTATTCTCATAAGATGTATTTAAAAAAATGAAGGTTAAAGGAAGAAATTTACGAATGAAAGGTTTAGAATAATATATTTTCTCATAAGTAGATATTTCTTTGTAATTTTCCTTGTTTAAATCAGTTCAACTGTTAAATAAATTCACCTAATTTATTAAAAAAAATTTCTATCAATCTTCAGCTTTTTTTTTATATGAAATAAACGAAATAATGTAATTGATTAGTATGAAATTATGTAAACTGTATCCTCCAGCAATATTCTACATGTGGAAGTAGTTAAGTATTGACTATATTTTGAGGTTAATTTGTAATCGCAACATTTTTTTAAAAAATCGTTGTAATTAACTGCAACTAAATGTAGTTTTTGCAACCACTGGATCATTATTTTGATCACATGATAAAAATTTTCGAAATGTCACAGTTACATCTAAAAAATGCATTAAAAAAAAATCTGAACAGAAACAAATAGCTGGATTAAAGATTGCTGATTTGATTCTTTAATACTATCATTGTTTCACCATATTATTCAAAAATCGGCCTTTAATTCGTGAATTTTTTTAAAAAAAAGCTTGATTGTAAGGGTTTGAAAATTACAATTTCATTCACATTAAAAATTCCTGTGTGGGCAAAAAACAAGCAAGATATTTGTTAAATATCTTGCCATTATGTGCTCCTAGTTGTATACGACATGGCTCTTGCCCCCATAATTCCAAACTTGTAATGTGGACTCTCTTTCCTTGCTTTGACTTAAGGTTCATGAAAGTTGAGTTTGCTATCTCTCATTACTGAGCATTACCTAGACTTTTCATCTTCTCCTAAAATCATTCAACACTACTCTTTACTTAAAACCCTTCTGTATTCTAAAAAATACTAATAAATGACACTTTCAAACCCTATCCCATTTTCCATTCCTATGGAAATCCTCTTTATTTATTCCCAGTTGATTGTATTCATCTTTCTCTTATCTCTGGCTTAACAAGGACAATATTTTATTTTGCTCCCTTCAAAGCTCATTGGATTCTCAAATTGATTTATTGATGATATACTTTCCCTGTTATTTTGTCATTTTTTGTTAAGTTGTTACTTAGTTACAATACTGAAGCAACATGTTTCTGTTAAGTGTGTTATTTTATATTTATATATTGCTTTTATAGTTTATTAAAGAATTTTGCTCTTTGGAATTTATCTTATGCTTATTGTTTGTTTCAGCGGATGGTGTGGCTCTTGGGGCTGCTGTCACAACATCCCATACAGATATAGAGATGATAGTGTTTACAGCTATTATGCTACATAAAGTACTTATATTTATTCATTATCAATATCTGTATTGTATTTCTTTCATCAATCTTGTAGTTGAATCACATATTTATGTAGCTATTATGAGCAAAAGCTTTTAAGTAGTGTCCTATTTTAACCGATTTTCCCAGCATGGCATCTAAAATTAAATTTCTTTTATTAATTAAATTAATTTTCTTCATCTAATGTGTTGAATGATTGATTTCTTTTCAAAATAACGGCAGAACAAATACATAATAAAAATTTTAAATTTACAAATGTTGAAAATTTTAAATGGGTAAAGAAGCAGAAGAATGAAGAGTGTGCTTTTATTAGAGGTGTTTGCACGTTATAAAGAATGTAAACAGTGGGTGAATATGTTGCCATCAGATTTATATTTCAAAATTCATTTTCCCCCAACAATTCATGTGTCTCAAAATGTTATGTATTGCCTCCATTGCTGCTGTGGTGCTCCAATAAATATTGAAGATCTCCACAAGAACTACATCCATTCATAATATTGGGAAGCCAAAGAGTTTTTGGACTACTTAAAATTTTTATTTCTTGCTTTTATGTGTTTTTTTGTTTTATTTTATGTATTTAGATCTTTGTATGTATGTCTGTAAAGACTGCTGCTTTAAAAATAAAAGAATTGCAGTATTTTAATTTAACGCAAATATTCAGTTAGTTATTCAAACTTTTAGGCGCCAGCTGCTTTTGGACTTGTAACGTTTTTGATGCATGAAGGCTTGGACAGAGTCAAAATTAGAAAACACCTATTGATATTTGCTCTTGCTGCACCCGTTCTTGCTATCATCACTTACTTTGGTATTAGTCAGGTGAGTTTAATGTTGCTGTAAAAAGAAAAAAAAAATCTGTTTTTACTGATCTCTAATAGTGTCACACAATGTCCTTCATTCATGAATTATTTTATTAACTTTAAAATAGTTATTTCCATGCTTATGAATAGTTCCAAAACTCTTTTCATGTAATATTGAAAAATATTTATACATGAAAGGTAGTCTTTCCTCCCAAGGTAGGGTTAGTCATTTTGATAATGTTATTTTATAAATATTCAGTTTGTTTTTTTCTGTGGTGTGTGCTTTTAACTGTTAATACAAAAATAATTAATTATAAATGTTTTTTTCTTCTTCATAAAATTTATTTCTACTTCATCAATAAAGCAACTTAAAGTACTGACACTTGATTCTTATTGATACCCATGAGAAATTCACATCCCTTACTATAAAAAGATTTTTCTGGTGTTTAAGAATAAACTTTATTTGGGGAAAAGCTCATTAAATGATTAAAAAAATACCCTTTCAAAAGTACACTCTTAAAGTACACACTATAAATAATAATTCAAAACATTATTGTTTGTATTTCAGAGAGTAGTAAAAAAAATTGTATGAAGTAATTATAATAATAATTGTTCTATAAAAAAATTTAATTTTTGTGAATGTAATTATTTTTCATATTTTTTTCCAGTTAGATTTTTTAAAAAGGGTAAGTATTTTTTAAAAAAAACAACCAAACACTACTTTACACATTATGAACGCTAACACTAAACCAACACACCATGAACTATGTATATTGCAGATCTTTAATATGTAGCAGGTTTCCTTTAAAAAGCAAAAAGGAAATACTATGCTAGGGTCATGAACATTTATCAGGATAATTTTAATAAGTAGTAACCCATGTTTCGAGTGCAAATGGGTGATTGAAAATTTTGACTTTTAAATAAGATCATAGTTCAAGGTGATGAGTGACAACTAGTTTATTGAAGCTAAAAGTGAAGATTACAATTGTGACATCCCTTTTATAGGGGCATACAAGGAAGTAAAAGAACGATTGCAAACGTCCAATGGAACGTCCGAGATTTCAGAGCGGACGGCTGAGAAGACTGTGTTTGCAGTTATTATTTCTCGTGAAGTTTCCCGGATCTTAAAGTATGTCAGGGCGATTACAAAATAATGCAAGGAAATTTTTCAGATCCGTTTCTCAACAGAAAATAGTATTTAAAAAAAATTTTTTTTACTTCTTACTAAGACATAATGACTAATTTGAAGTGAGCCTCCAATTATTTACAAATTACATTTTTTTAATATCACCCCTTTAAGTTTTTTTTCCTTATCCTCCATCCTCTATCTTTAATACCTATGTAAGCATTCCAATGTAAAAATGTAGGATTTTTTTCCCTTAGTTAAAACATGTCAAACTTACAATGTAGGAGTTATTTAAAAGAGTTTTTTTTTTTTTTAATGAACTCTGCTTCAAGAAACAGTGTTTAATAAACTGAGCTGAAAAAAATTCAGGCAAAATAAAAGTCTTGGAAAAGTTGTTCATTCCTGAGAATGAAATTCAAAGGAAATTCCTGACTGAATATATAGTGTGATTAGGACTGGGCTATAAATCGATGTATCGAGACATATCGATTTAACGCATATATCGGCAAGACGATACAGCGACTTTCATTCAAGGCGATGCATCAGAAATCTGATTTAAGCCATCGAGTAAAGACAACGAGCGCAAAACGACATAGCGATATAAGACACGCAAGGATATAAGAACGATATAGCGATATAAGACTCTTCTCTTACGTTCCGATGTCGACTCGTGCTTTTTCAAAATGATGTTCGTTTCGTTTTGTTGAAATGGCCTTGATTGGTGAACTGTAGAATCAGAATCAGAGTTTTGAGTTATATCGTTATATCGCATGTTCCTTTTCGCACTTCTTAGCTTTTTTTTTCGTTGTCGCGCCTTTACTTGTAGATTGTTTTCAGTGGACTAACTTCGTGATCGCCGATGTTACCTTGTTCTGAAGGCAATCTATTATTGAAAAGAATATATAAAGAAGAGTTTCTTCATTAATTAGATAAGTTTTTTTAAAAAAAAATCTTTTTATTTTTAAATGTGAAAATTATCGGCAATCTAATTTAGGCACCCATAAAGAATTGTATTTGTTAGGTTATTTCTTTACTTTCTTTTTATTTATTAAAAACTTTTTGGATGAAACTTCTAATAATTTAATGAGTTTTTATTGCTGATTTTAAATTTATAAATCTTGTTGTTTTTATTTTTAGAAATAAAGTTAAAACAATTTTTTTTTTTTGTCATTTGGATTTGGACATAAGTCAATTAACTTTGTTTATACAAAAAAATTTGAAAGGTTTGCGTATTTTATTCATTTTTTTAAATCATTTAGCACTTTGTTTTATTAGAGAGTATAATAATTTTTTTAAAAAAAATATTCTTTTCACATTATTTGTTAATTAGCTAAATATATTATCGAATATCACAATTTTTTTATTTTTAAGAAATTAAATCTTACTTTGTTTTTCGTTCATAATTCGGTCATTATTTAATTTAATTTAATTATTTATCTGAAATGATAAGGTCCCGCAGTGGACTGATCGTTAAGACACGGTTCCCTGCAGATCACCGAAGTCAAGCATCACTGGCTGCGGTCAGTGTGCGGGTGAGTGACCACTTGGATCAGTCTGCGTAGGGACCGAGGGTGTGCGGTATTGGTCCTCGTTAAACTGTTCTACCGTAAAGTGCTCGACTTCGCGTGCAGGTCGTCGAGCTACCGAAGCGGGGGTGCCATCCCATCTGCAGAGGATCAAAATTGTGATGGCATGTCTTCGGATCATCCTCAGGGATGTTTCCCAGACCGTCGCCAATAGCCCATTGTGCAGCTCTAGTGTGACGTAAATGAACTATAATAGAACTATAATAACTGAAATGATAATAATAAAAAATAGTGTTTTAAAAGCGTTTTTTTTTTCTAAAATTTATTTAGCACTTTGTTTTAAACATACAAATAATTTTTAACGTTTCATTTAGAAATTGAACATTACGATCGAACTTAATAATTATGTAATTATTTATGCATAATAGTACAAGAAAATATTAATTTGTAAAAAATGCTTTAAAAAAAGTTTTTAACATTTTGTTTTACGTGTATTATGAATTTCTAAACAAACATTTCAATAAATATTTTAAGTAAGATTTGTACATTGTAGTCAATTTATTTAATATCTTTCTTAAGCAATATCTTCAAATTTATAAATTGATTTAAATCAATCTGAGTATGAAGTTTTGATAGAAATCTGACTTTCTGTGCCTTACAAGTAAATGAAATTCAAAAATACTATATCCCGATACATCGCTATATCGCTATGCAAAACTGACGATGCATCACGATATATAATTTCGAAAAACGCCCAGTCCTAAGTGTGATTTATTTCAATAATTTTGACCGAAATCTGGAGCCCTGCAGAAAGAGATAATTAAAAAGGCCTGCTAAATGTTTTTGCACAGGGCTCCGCTAAGTTCAGTGACACTCTGATAATGCATAAGATATTGAAAATGAATTAATAGACATCTTTGTCTAAGTTTTAATACACTTTTTTCTGTTTCATTTTAGTCGACGAAAGAAAGACTGTCCTCGATGAATGCCACTGGGATTGCCATGCTCTTCAGCGCTGGAACTTTCCTTTACGTGGCAACTGTTCACGTTCTTCCAGAAATAGCTCTTCAATCTCACAGGCACAACCCCGACATCTCCACTCCGGACATCAAAGGGTTCAGGAAGGTGGAACTTCTGGCCCTCGTGGTGGGTGCCCTCCTACCTCTCCTCTTGTCGGTCGGCCATCACCACTGATGTCACAGTTTGTAGTCTTTCTGGGACTGCTTTGCTGGTCCGGGAGGAGAATTGTTGTGATAATCTGAACAAATAGAAGCATTGAAGAGAGAGAGAAAAAATTTTTTATAGTTTGTTCTTTGATGTGTTCAAAGCATTTTATATTCTCTTTTTCAAAGACATTTAAGTTTTCAGTGAATTCAAGTTTAGATTTCTAAAAAAAACACTATTTCAGTAGTACGGAAAAAACCTGTTTGTTATATCTTTTGGTTTTTTAAAATATTTAATTGATTTAGTTTTTTACTGATAATCCTGATAATCTGTTTTGGGTAGATTTTATTGATCAATCCTATTTTTAAGTAAAGTCTAAATAAGCTCTTTCAATGCAATTTAATAAGAAAGAATAAAATATTGGATGCATTTTAGAGTGCAATAGATAGTTGCCTTATTCTTATCTGAGAAAGACTAAGAGAGTGGTGAATCTAAGATGATTCGAGTAATTAAATTTATAGTTGAGGCAAAAATTGTTTACAGTGTGATATTATAATAATATTTTATGTTCTGAAATTTATAATCCATTATCTGATATAAAAAGAAGTATAATAAATTCTGGAAGCATTATTATCAAGTACAAAATTAAATCCGTTCTTTGTTATTTAAATTGCTCATCCATTCATTTGTCTTTATTTTGGAATTCCACCTTTTATAATTTACTAGCATGTAACTATTTGTTTATTGAATGAGCTTCTATAAATACTTAAAGAAATTTTACAAATTGAATTATTAGTTGTTGTCATAGTTCCTTTTTCTTATATTAAGTTGTTTCTATTAAAGGTAAGTTAGATTTAATTATGTTTAGTTGAGCTTTCAAAATGCTTATGTAATGTATATTTACATAAAATGTGTTATTTTTGTTTACAGTGCTTGTTTTGTTTTTAGCTACACAATATTGCCTAGTTTAAAACATAAAATAATTATGTTTGACTTTGTTTCAAAAAAAGGGAAAAATATTGAAGATATTACATGTACAGTTTTTACTTGCATAATACTGTTTATTTGAAGAGAAAAATGAAGTTCATGTTTTCATAAAGTACTTACATTGATTTTTCAATTGCATGATAATATATGAAGCATTTCTTTTCACTAAAAGAATTTTTGTGTAATCTGACTTTTTACTGTAGTTTCTCCCATTCTGCTAAAAATTTGCAATAGTGCAATTATACACCTTGTTGAAAAGTTCTTGCTGAACATGTAAGTTTTTTTTTAATTAATAAAATAGTTATTATAAAATAGATAATAAAAAATATCAATAAAAATATATATATAAAATCTATAGATAGATGAAATTGATATAATTAATGACATTCCTTAATTAGTGTCATTGAATTAATTCAAATATACCATTAACAATATACTGCCTAAAAAGTTTTTTAAAGGCTGGAGGTTACACTCATTTTGTTAAGAAATATTTAGCTATTTCAAATGTTGAAAGCACTACTTTGCACTTTGAATATTTTCTGTTAAGCTTTTGCATTTTTATTTCACCTGCCTGTGTTTGAAATGTTGTTCCAAGTACTTATGCCTTTTTTTCTGCTTTTTTTTTTCTTCACTCAAAATAGATTCACCATCTATCTTTATATACTCGAGTATAAGTCACATTCAATCATCTATTCCAGAAAAGAAAAATATGTAATAAATATTGTTATTTAAGATTAATTGTACCTGTTATACTCATAATTGTGATAGTTAGAACTGTCGTTTTTGTAAAAACAAAGTTTGAAAAATGTCTAAAATTGAACTGCAGAATCATTTATATTCTCGTGCGTATATTTTCATTGTTTCTGATGGACATGGATGCTAAACTGACAATACAACACTAAAGTATGAATTTCTTTCAAGATATTAAGAGATAAAATGTCAGTTAATTATTTTTAAAGCCTCATTATTATTTATGAGGCAAAAGTGTTTTATTTTTTCTCTCATAATAATAACTATAAATATGTTAAGAGCTCTGAAAAAATAAGCAAAAACTAATTGTTTTGACCGAAAAAAAAAGGAAGAATTGATAGTCAGAAATAATTAAAAAAAACGTTCTAGGACTCTATTAATCACTAAATATTTCCCTGCTGAATATCCAAGATGTTACTACTACCCAAATACTCATGTGATGAACTTTCAAAGGTATACAAATGACATTCAAGAATTTATTTATTCAGATTTTATGTGTTGTGAATGACGCGATTTATCTAAATTATTTCAATTTTAGTTGCTTGTTTGAAAAGAAAATTTGAATTTTAGCTTGAATTAAGTATACATTGAATGTATGTTGTACATTGAGTCAGTTCCTGACAAAGTAATGTATATATTTTGATGATCTAATATATTGAAATTTAAAAACAAAATTGTGTACATAAATAAAATAGTTTTTTTTATGTGTCTTATCTTCTTCAAACAAAATATAAATACTCAAATTTTTATTTAATTATTTATTTTGCATTAAAAGAGAAGGTGTACATGATGCCTTTTTGCAGAATATGTTTTCTTAAAACAAAGCGAAAAATGTTGTTGTCAATTACTTTATAAGAATAAATGATTTTTTATATATTTATTTTAATTAGAATATTCTTTAACTTTCTGCTTACAGCTGAGACAACTGATGATCCAGAATAGCTGATGCTATCATCCGCTGTAGGCAAAAGCTTGACAATTAACGTTTTCAAAGTTGTAATATATTTATTTTATGTATTTTGCCTCCCCAAATATTTTTATCTAAGTTCTTTAAAGTCAGTATATTTAGCTAAATTTTGCCAATTATTTTTATTGTAAAATTATTTTTTTATTGTCGTAGATTTTTATTATTATTATTTTTAAGTTTATTTTAATTTTAAAGGAAGTAAAATTTTTAAAAAGTGGCTATTAAATGAAAAAGACCTTTCAATGTCCTTCACCAAATCATTAGTTTGAGGAAAAAGTAACTATTAAGGCATTAGAGTTCACAAACTGCTGGTTACTAACTGAAGATTTAAATTTTCAGGTCTATGTAGGGAGAGAAAATGCTAAAGCTAGGTTTTACATTGGAAATATTTTAGATAGTTTTTCTGAAATTATTTGTTTTCGATAAGAGGTTTGGCAGATGTCATATTTTATATTATATTAAAAAAATTGTTCTTGAGTGGCTTATATTTATGAAAACCATCAATTCAAAGTTCAATGATTAATTTCAAGCTTCATTCAAGCTTAGACATACTATAGATCTTTAAAAAAAAAAATAAATTTACACAAAGACGTTTACAAGTGAAAAAATTTTTTTTACACGGAAGTATATTTTCCTTTTTTAATAAAAATATTATTTTAATAAAAAGAAAGATAGAAATTGCTGCTTAAACTAATAAAGTACGTACACTTTTCCGTGAATCAGCATCTTTATTTTAACAGCTTTTTTTGTCAGAAAAAAAAAACAGCTGACATATTTCATAGTTTTCAGTGATATACAAAAATTTTGCTAAGACCGTACTCTTTTCCTTGCTCTGCTATTCTATTGTGCATATATTCTGGAAAGGAAAGGGTCAATTATCAATATTTATTATTATTATTCATAAATAGAAATATATATATATTTACTTAATTCTCTCACATAGCCTCGCAAAAAGACTAAACATATTTTTTTGCTGGTCGCAACAACGCTATCCCGATTAGAAACTGACGAACAGTCCCTGATTTTGGAAGAAAAAGATAAAGGAAATGTCTGTGATATTGAAGTATTGGGTAAATCATGAACTATGATATGTTTCACGTAAATTACACGCTAAGGAATAAAATTACTCGATTATTACAAATTCTAAGTAATTCTGTGCCGTTATAGTGCTTTTTAATTACAGTCAGTCAACATTGGAAATTTTCAGTAAGTTATATTTTGCCCAATAATCATTTAATTGTGTGTATGATATTCGCCGTTAAACATGCTATCTGATTTGAAATGTAGGGAAAAAGCCATGTCACAATTTTTTTTTTTCAATTATAAAAACTTAATATTAACTGTTATATTAATACTAGAATGCTACTTTATGAAATTCTGCCTGAGAACAGTTATTTATTACTGAAAAAATTAAAGAAAAAAAAATCTTAAAATTTTGAACCCAATGGCAAATAATAAAAAAGCATAAGCGAAGGCATACTAAGATAAAAACGTATTCATACAATTGTATTTATATAGCACTTTAAATTTATATTTAAGTAGCAAAACGATTTGGTACTCAAAATTTTTTCCCCAAAACTGGACAATTAACAGATCAGCACAAAATTCGAAACGAAAATAAAGTACTGTGCGACAAAAAAGCGAACCACCCTACATTACTTTTGGTCTAATGATCATGTAATCATGGCTCTATCTTAATGGTTTGAGGAGGTAAACTCAAATATGTTAATTAAATACTGTAGACCAGTATTTCCCAAAGTGTGGTACGGGTACAGTTTAGAGGGGGTACGCGAAATATCTTGCAACAGACGAAAATTTTATTCAAAGTCAAAGCTAGCCATGAAAATTTACGATTGCGTATTTTTCTATTGGCTATTTTTTGCAGAGTTAACAGTTAATATTTAGTGGTGTCAACAGCCAGTTGTGAATTTTAACTTTAGTGCAATTTTTTTTATAGTAAAAAATACATTCATTTTTTTATCAGTGGTACACAGCGTTACGAAAAATTTAGAAAGGGTACACAAAAGTCATAAGTTTGGGAAACACTGCTGTAGACGATATTTTAAGTTCCGAAATCAGACACAAAAACTTACTTTCCCTGTATAAACATACCCATTTTTCATCGGATTTCTGACCCCCAAAATAAAATAACGTCCTTTATAGAAGCAGAACGATTCCATAATAGAAACGGACTTAAAAGATTCAGAAAGCCATTGAAAGGGGAAAAGGAGCCTGATATCGGAAAAGCGTTGTTGGTAGGAAGAATTGAGAGCATCGGAAAAATTCAGTAGACTTGGTACAGTGTTGATTTCACTGAGAAAGAAAATTTTTGATCCGTAGAGATCGTTCACAATTATTAGAGGGAATTCCAGAAATTCTTGTCACATTTGTAGAAAGTTTTAGTTCGTGAAATTGTGATAAAGGAGTTGTAGAGAAGTGTAGCATGTTAGATTCTGGTTAAAGCTTTTAAAATTAACTGTTCTGAATTGTAAGTGTATGTTTATTCTATGCGGCTAGACTTGTGCCAAAAGGAAGGGATGGTGAATTTTGATAAAAAATATATTTTTTTAAAAAGTTGATCGTCATCAATAAAAGTTCCAAGGCCTTATTAGCACATACGAAACCGACATTCCCTTTTCTAAATTTTATATTCATTCATTTATAGTTTTAAAATAATTATACTAAGGGATAAATGTAACTTTAGAAACATAACTAATGCTCTAAGGAGTCAATTGAAAAAATCCTCAGCGTTATTTCCCCGTATCACTCATTTTGTTGTTCTCTCCTCACGCAAAATTTTGAACATTATGAAATCGTCTTCCCTCTATCTGCTTGTTAAAATATAGGGTTTAACCTAAGTCTGGAAAAGTGGTCAGACCCCATAGTGTGGTCAGGAGAACAATCTAAAGTTTGTAAATTTTACTTTTTGCTGTATCTCAAGAACTTTCTAAGCGAATTATAAAACGTTTGCACACAATTCTAAAATTCATTTGTTCAAAGAAAATTCCATAGAAATAATAAATTTTAGTAAGTATTTATTATTTTATTAAATAATAGTCGAAAAGCTTTTTAATTGTAAGTTATACGATTTTTTACATCATTTTAAAGTATGTATTTTTAAGTGGCAAAATACAAAATTTGAGCAAAATCGGTAGAATAGTTCCTGAGAAGTTAAATTTTAAAGAAGAAAAATATTTTATCTAAAATTTGATTTTTCAGGAACTTTTTAACTGCTTTCGCTCAAATTTTGTATTTTGCCATGTAAAAATGCATACTTTGAAATGATGTAAGAAACTGTATACCTTACAATTCAAAATTTTTTCTTCTATTATTTAATAAATATTAATATAATACATAATTTATTTTTTTGTATGGAATTATCATTGGATAAATGAATTTTATAATTGTGTGCAAAAAATTTTCAATTCGCTTAAGTTCTCAAAATATGGCAAAATACGTAATAATTACAAGTACATGGATATTAACAACAAGTGTCACGCATTGTACATGGATATTAACAAGTATCAAAAATCAGTATCATATTGTTAATTATTAATATATTGAGAAAAAAATTCATAAATGCATTTGTTTAACATATTTGTGCCTTATTTTAGTTTCCGATATCTACCCTATGTTATTATTAAATGGTAAATAGCCGCATGATATTTGTAATCTATATAAAATTTTTGGATCTAATATTCAATTTCATTAGAAAAAAAACAAACAAAGTCATGATGTCAAGCTTTTTTTATATGTCAAGGGTAAAATTTGAACATTTTGCTACTGACCAGTGGCCAATTGGGCATACTATAGCCTACGTCACAGATCGTGTTATTCCTACTAAATTTAACTAGTAAACAGCATTTTCTGCGAACCTGATTTCTAGCAACAAGTAAAAGCATCAAACGAAGTGTCTTGTTATAAGTCGCTACTCGCCAGGTTGGAATTGTATTAGTCTAGTTCCTTTGGAAATAATTTATATTGTTGTTTTACCGAAGTTTATGAATTTAGTAAGCAAATTTAAAACTCAGTTTATTAATTAAACTAAACGGTAAATGTTATTCCTAGTAAGTGGAAGTAGTTGTGCTTTTTTCATATTATACCCAGTTGTAGCCTTTTTAACAGTTCTCTAAAGCACGTGAACACTTTTAAGAAAATTGAAAATTTTAAACGATTAAAGAAGCTGTTAACATTGATATTATCTTAAGAAGCATTTCTCAAAATATGGTAAGCATTACAAGATTCATTTCTAAAATGAGGAAAACATTTTATAAACAAGCAGGAACTAATGAAGTTCGCAGAATATTGTGAAATATTGAAAATAATTCCATATTTATTAAAATTATCATAATAATAAAATGAACATGGGGTGCATTTTTGACGAAAATAGTGGCCATCGGATGGCGACTTGCAGACATTTTTTCTAATCGCCACTTAATTTATAAGGTCACCCACCATGTGGCGGAGACTGTTAATTTCGCCCTATGCCGGTATACTGAATGATTGACAGTTTTTGTCTAAACGTACCATATTGTTTAAACAGGAACATACTAGATATTTATGTTTTAGGTTGGCAAGTATGGGTTGTGAATCGATACGAAAGAGCCTGGGATTGAACCTTAGTAATGTTAGAAAATTTTACTGTTTTTTCTAATGCCACTTGCCAATCCAACAAGCCTGCTTGGTGAAACCAAGCGTATTTAAGGCAGAGCGTGCATTTCCTATCTATGTCCAAGAATACGACTTCAGCCGAACACACGTCACAGCCCGTTTAAAAGGTGGACTCATTCATGTATCCATTCATCCTCAGATTGTACTTTTGACCTGAACCAGAGAACGATCAATCTCCAATTCAGTACCCTGAGATGTATGATTTGTTATTGGAGTATGGAGGACTTTGTGACCCGACAGAT